AACACTAACCTTCAAATCTTTGCATCATACGTTTTTTATCTAAGTCTACATTATCGTCGTCACTAACTCTATTACGTTTCGAACTTCCATGATCATTGTCATCACTAGCTACAGCTTGTTTTTTCTTTGGCTTATAGTCTTTCATATTCTTAATATCTTCTGCTCGTTGGATATACGTCTTAACTTTTGCACGTATCTTTTGCTTCGTTGGTTCATTCATAACTCCATCTAGTAAAATACATACATCAGTTTCAATCCTTAGGAAATTTATTATCATTACTCACATTTTATTGCATGCATAAACCAATCTGCAGCAGCCATATAGGCTTCTACAGCTGTCTCATAATTGTGTGCTTTATCTTCTGAAGTAGCGCGCTCAGCAAAGTTCACGGCTTTCTATAAAATCATAACAAAAGGAAGTAAAATTGATCTTCAATTAATTCCGAAAAAATACCTTTATAATATTATCTAGATCGATGCTCATTGCCTCAACAATCTCTAAAAGAAAAAAGTATACAATATGTAAGTATGAAGAAAAATATCCTGAAGAATAAATATTGATAATTAACTAACAGTATTGACAAATACTTTTCTCCTCGAAATGAAATGTCAGATTTGTATATTTCTAAGGTAAAATGAAGGATGTATAAAACATAAAATCAAAAAAATTAAGTTCAATATAGTGAGATCAGTAGCAATAATACGAACGAAATTCGTAATAATACTTTTTCTATCTACAAACGTATTCTTGTTAATACACAATGAATAAGATACATAATAACTGAAGACGTATTAATATATACTGTCGGATAAATGAATCATTTAAATAATTTGTTTAGTTTCTGAGTCATTCCTGTTACTCATTTTTATCGCTACGAATTTTATCAGTAAAAACATATGACAAGTTATTTTCGAAAAAACACTTAACGGTTGCAAGTGGCAATTAAAATCCATGCGAATTATTTTCAAATTATTCTTACATTTCAGTAGTTATATAAATCAACTTAAATTACCACGAAAGATCTTTATATAATAAAGAAATGATCTCAATGGTATTCAAAAAAAAAAAAGATGAAACATTGAGATGTACGTTATCTTTGAAAATTTGCGCAAATCATTGTCTAATTTTAAATATGACTAGACGAGAATTAATCATCATGCAATCTATTTTCAAATTTGAAAGACCAAAAATGGTCAGAAGTTCAAAGTGATCGAAAACTGGTTAGATTCAGCGGTGTTAGAGATCTATAACCTATGCTCTTAGCATCTTCGAAATGAGAAATAATCGTTAGGAGAGCTTTGCATACAAAGAATAATCGCAACATGAGTTTTTCTGCTAGAAATTTCGAGATTTCAGTTTAATAAAAATACCAACTAACACTTCGCAGCTATATTAACGATGAAAAACCTGAGGTACAATGTACCTTCTTTCTTCGCTCTGCAATTTGTCCCCATAATGCCCTCTACTTTTGAAACTTGTTCACGCAGCTTGCCGTTTTCTGACAGTTAACCATCCTGCCTTTCAATGTTGAGTCACATCTCCAAGTATAACAACTAAATTTTTTGAATATAATTTTTCTTATGATCGATTCTGTGCTATAATTTGAGCTCGGTTTAAAATTACATGTGAGATATTTTTATTGATTGATAGCGACACGTATGTCTTAGTTATTTATTGGATCAAATCGATTATTCAATAAGCAATTTTTTTTTTATAACACGATGATATGCGATCGATGAGGCTTCGAGTTTTGCATAGTACTTGTTGTAGAAAATGAATTAATTCTTTTAATAGATTATATCGAATTAGATATTTCTTGATTTGTCATGTTTGTGCGACAACAATTGGTATTGAAGTAAGTCCACAATATGCTAAAAACTAATTAAAAAACATTTTTATTTATTTATTAATAATACAAATTACCATGGTATTTTTTATTCGTCTTCAGATTTTCATCTTTAGTTAATAAACTTTATTATCGCACCATGAAAATCCGTCATTTCAATGCATTAAAAGATAATTATATGTATTTAATAACTGATGATAAAACAACAGAATGTGCAGTTGTTGATCCAGCTGAACCAAAGGAAGTAAGAAAGACAATATTTTAGGAAAAAAAATCAATTCTTTAGACTTGAATTTCTAGTTAGTTGAAACAATTAAAAAAGAAGGATTAAAATTAACAACTATTCTTACAACACATCATCATTATGATCATGCTGGTGGTAATAATAAAATGCTTGAATTAATGGGTGCAGAAAAAGGTCAAATAAAAGTAGTTGGTGGTGATGAATCATTACAAGGTCTTACACATCTAGTACAAGATAATGAAAAAATTCAGGTAATTTAATTTCTCTAATTTTCTCAAGCAGAAATAAAGTTTTCTGTTTTTTTTTTATTCCAATAGATTGGAGAACTTGAAGTTACTTGTTTATTAACACCTTGTCATACAGCTGGTCATGTTTGTTATCTCGTTACAGGTTGGTAATATGAAATTGTTTGTTTTCAGTTTTTAATTAAAAAAATATTTTAGATAAACAACAACAAGCTGTTTTTACAGGCGATACTTTATTTATTGGTGGTTGTGGTAAATTTTTTGAAGGTTCAGCAGCACAAATGCAATCAAGTCTTCAAAAATTAGCAGGACTTGATCCAAAAACCGTATGTTAAACATATTTTTTTTTTGGTTAAATATAAAAAAAAACCAGAATAAGATTTCGTTTACTATATATCTATTTTTTTTACAGCTTGTCTATTGTGGTCATGAATATACGAAAACAAATCTTGAATTTGCTGCAACTGTTGAACCAGATAATCAAGATTTAAAAGCTAAACAAGCAAGTTTAAAATCTGTTACAATACCATCAACAATAGGTGATGAACTCAAATTTAATCCATTTATGCGTACAAATCAAAAAAGTGTACAAGCATTTACTGGTAAAGCTGATCCAATTGAATGTATGGGTGAATTACGTGAAAGAAAAAATAAATTTTAAATTTAATTCTTTCTTTTTCATTAAACAAGCAATTGATGATTTTTTTTCTTTGATTTGAATAAACAAGCCAAAATTTAATGATCCATTTTTTTTTCTTTTAGATATACATAGAAGAAAATAATGACTAATGGAATGTCTAGTATAATTGATTTAGAATTTTATATTCAACTCGCTACTTTTTTTGGATGTTCCTCAAGGTTGACTTAATGAAAAGCTTTGAAATATTCACGCTAGACGGAAAATCGACTGCTTTGCAAAAATAGATATTTTCGTTTTTCGTTTCAAGCTGATTTTGTTTTTTTGTTTTACTAAGCATCAAATGAGGAAATAAGTAATCTATTTTAAAAAATCTACTAAAATTTTTAAGAGTCTTATTTCAATGAGATAAAACTTTAATGTATGTTTTTTGTAAAAGGACAAAGACATGTGCGTTTTCTAACTTTTTTTTTGGTGTCATCGTTTAAAACTTTCACTAGCTTTTTCAATGATTATCATTGTTGTTATTTACTTACATTTATGAACACTATACATAGTAATCCTTTTTTTTTTAATTATCATTAGTTTTTCTTTCTGAAATTAATTCAATAAACTTTTTCTTTGTAGATTATCAATTGTGTTTAGAAGCCATTTAATTAAAACCTTAGACGAACTTTCATATATATACATATATATATTATAAATGTTGAAAGGTCGTCTATGGCGTTTTTTAATATTCTTTTTTGTACTGTATTTAATATTTCTTCTCGTTTTTTCCCGTTCATTTAATTCTGATAATAATGATAAAACAACAACATCACCATTACCTCAGGCACGTGTTATTATTGATGATAATAATCACGAACAAAATAATATTCAACATCATGAGGTTGCACGACAAGTCGAAATTAATAAACCATCTGATTTAGAACCTGTAATGACAAAAGGTATATTAGGAAATTATGAACAAAGAAGCGTAGTTAAATCATCGGGTCCTGGTGAAGATGGTGAAGGTGTTCAATTACACGGAGAAGATATTCAACGAGGACAAGAATCGGTTGCTGAATATGGTTTTAATGAAGTAGCAAGTGATAAAATTTCATTAAATCGACGTGCACGTGATACAAGGTAGGAAAAACAAAGCCAAAAATAATCCCGATAAAATTTAGAGAGAGAAAAAAAATCTTTATTTAGACCGGAAGAATGTAAATATTGGAATTATCCAAGTGTTCATAGATTACCAACAGCATCTGTGGTTCTTGTTTTTTATGATGAAGGATGGTCAACATTAGTACGAACATTTCATTCTGTTATTAATACAAGTCCAAAAGAATTATTAAAAGATATTATTCTTGTTGATGATTACAGTGATCAAGAACATATAACTATTCGTTTACCGGAATATATTAAAAAATGGAATGGTCTTGTGAAATATGTTCGAACACAACAACGGTAAATTTTCCTCGAGAAATACAATACGGAAGTAGTTCATATATTATAACGAGACATTATTGGTATACGATCTATGATCGTATATCAACAACGTCTGTCACAGTCCGTAAAAGGGGGGAGGGGGTGCAGTGTGTATCAAACTAGACATTAGGTAAAAAAAATTAAATCTCATGGTAGTAAATATACTGCACGACAAGCTTTATCTGCTGACATAACAACTTTTATTACTAACGTCAAGTAGAGTGGAAAACACGCCTGTCGTTAAAAAAACGAGTTGGCAAACAGTAGCATATATTTGAAGTTGGCTCAATGTCTTCTATCGATTCGTAAAAATTAATTCTTCCAAGAAACCATAGTTTTCCAGTTCAGAAACATTTTTATTGCACGAATGATATACTATCACTTCCGAAGAAGAAGAATCCAAGTTTTTATCTCTATATTTTAAGACCTATTGTAGATCGTGTATTCCACCAAAAGTAAATGTTTGATTTTTATTATAGAGTTGGACTTATTGAAGCTCGTGTTATTGGTGCTCGCGTTGCTGAAGGCGATGTTATTGTAATCTTAGATGCTCATTGTGAATGTGTAAGATAATGTCTTCTTTTGTATTAATTTAAGTTTATTTTTTTTTGTTTTTAAATTTCTATTCAGGTAACAAATTGGTTACCACCATTACTTACTCGAATTGCTTTAAATCGTAAAACTTTAGCTATACCTATTGTTGATGGAATTGAATGGAATACTCTTCGACATAATACAGCTTATGGTGGTACACTTTATAGAGGTATATGGGAATGGGGATTTTTATATAAAGAAACAGAATTACCACAACGTGAACGCAATTTAATGAAATATCAAACTGAACCTTATAAAAGTCCAACTGTAAATTTGAAATCAATACGTTTTTATTTTGTTAACACTTTTTTTTTCTAGCATGCCGGTGGTCTTCTTGCTATAGATAAAAAATGGTTTTTTGAATTAGGTGCTTATGATCCGGATATTAAAATTTGGTAAGTATTAATTTATATGAATTGAATATTAAAAAAGAAAGAAACTTGGAGCAGTATGATATAAAAACTTTGATTTTTCTTTCTAGGGGTGGTATGTATTTATGTTTAAAATAATCTCAATTCTATTTTTGTTATTCGCTATTAGGTGAACAGTATGAATTAAGTTTTAAAGTATGGATGTGTGGTGGTCAACTTGAATGGTAAATAAGAACAAGAAAAACTTATTTTTCTTTTCGATTAGATTAATATTTATTTGTTAATTTTTAAAGGGTTAGTTGTAGTCATGTTGGACATATATATCGAGGACCACGACGACGTAGTATGCATCCTCGAGGTGGAAAACTTCATCAAAGTCATATAAATCATTTACGTGTCGCTGAAGTATTTTATTTTTGATTGATCTCTTCTTTTTATTTTCTTATCATTTAATATTAGATTTGGATGGATGAATATAAAGAATATTATTTACGTCGTCAACCAAATCAGGCTCATCTTGATATTGGTAATACAAGTGAATATAAAGCATTACGAAAACGTTTAAATTGTTCAAGTTTTAAATGGTTTTTGGACAATGTTGCTTATGAAATGGCTGAAAAATATCCATTACCACCCGCAAATTATGTTTGGGGTGAAATGCGTAATGATCAACATCGACAATGGTGTGCTGATACACTTGATAATCATTTTGGTCGACCTATAGGTATATCTGGTTGTCATCATCAAGGTGGCAATCAATTATTTCGTATTAATGTAGAAGGTGAATGGTCATCGGGTGAACATTGTTTTGTATCGGAAGGAAATTCTGTTATTGCAAGGTATGGAAACAGTATTATTAATGTCTTCAATATATCGATAGTATGAACAGATTGATCAAGGAGAATGATTTAACAAAAATTCTATCTGAAGCCTTCCATAAATCTGATGTAGTTCGACGGATAAAAATGTTGTAGAGAGGTCGGAGGCATCTCATTTTGCAGAGAATGATTAACTTTTTTTTTTAATTCCATGTTTGCTTTATTTTCTGCAAATAGTCACTTCAGTAACCAAGAGATTTTTTTTTGTTATCATAGGCATTGTGTACAAATGGGTCGATGGACTCCAAAAGGTGAATGGACTTATGATAATAAAACACGACAAATTCGTTCGACGAAAGTTTATAAATGTGTAACAACTGATGGTAAAGTTTTAGCTCTTGAAACTTGTGAAGAAGATGCTACGGCACAAAAATGGACGTGGACAGAAACTTATGCTGTATAATTAATATCGAATTTATATAATAACTGTAACATGGAAAATATAAGTTATTATTACCTCAAGAATCTCTGATTCGGGTTTTTTTTTGTTGTTTCTTTCTTGTGATATTCTCCATTATTGTTATTATTTTCTTATCTTTGATTTCGTGCTAAATCAAGTGATTTGTAATTTTTGTTTGGTGTTTTTTTGTTATTTTTAAATTATATACAAATTCATTTTAATTCTCGGTTTATTAGGTTTTATTTAAATAATTATTCGAAGAGGTTAAAAGATTAAAAAAAAATTAATGCCTTAAATAATTTATTCTCTTTAGATAAAATGTTACATTTATTAGCAAAACGTGCATGCATAACTAATCGACAAACATTATATTTCTCTAAATCAATTGTTCGTAATAGTTCTTACTTAGTGTAAGCTTTGATTTTTATTTAATAAAAAAAACAAAATTCTATTAGATTCATATTTTAAAAGAATACCTGAATTACCACCTCCTGTTGAAGGTATTGATGCTGTATTTCATTCTGAAACACTTCCATCATTTGAACATGCTACACCACAAGTTGTTGTAAGTGGTGGTCTTCGATTATGTTCAGAATTTGATACTACTATTCAACAACATGTTGAAAAATTAGCAAATGGTAAATATTCTATTTTATTCATTCTTTATATGTAATTACGAAGAACAGATAAATTGAGTTCTTATTAAGAAAATGTAATGTTTTATTCAATTGATACATTAGATAGTTTTGTTATAAGAGTTTCTAAAAATATTACTGTGATGTATTTCTTATACTTTTCTTGTTTGAATATTAATGTAGAAGTAGATGATAATAGTGAATAACTTGCGTTAAACACAAATATTGGAAACAGCACTTCTGGACTTAGTTATTAGAGTGCTTGATTAACATTAAAGAAGTTACTTTTCTGTATAGGGTCTGTTATCATCTATATGAAATATGTCAATTTGAAAAGTATATATCACATATTTTCTTTTAAATTTTGCATAAATCTAGTTCGATGATCTGTCAGTAAAATTGTACCATTATATACGCCTCTCGTCGCAATAGAAGCTCCTAGAACTTCTAAAATGTCCAAGTATTCGAAAATCCTAGGAAAATTTCTATTATGGGAGAAATTACTAATTCGACCTGAATGTGGATGTTACTGAAGGCAGTAACTGAGTGTATAATCAACATGATCTCAGATTTCGCCGAAAAATGAATATAAGTTCTAGCATTTGTTCTTAATTATGAGTATTTGACGTCTGAAGAAACATTTTTTATAGGCAGAAAGGAAATTTCTAATACGTCCTTGACATCGATTCCTCTAGATAGAGTTACTTATATGCAGAGTTCTTCTATTTCGGGTAGTGGTTTAGTCTATAGTATTTACTAGTAAATATTCAAATATGATGGTAAAATAACAAAAATTCGTCTGAGAAAAATTGATTAGACAAATCATTTCTCAATCTGACTTTGAAACCAATAGATTATAACATTTGAAAATCGAAATCTAAAATATAAAATTCTTAATCTGAATTATGAATAATATGATATTAAAAAAATTTCATACATCATAGAAAAGACTTGAATTTTTTGTATATAGATACATCGAAACCAACATTTGAATCTATATTTAATCCGATTGAAGATTTAAATGTTCCATTTGAAACGGGTCATTATACAATTCGTCAATTAGCACTTGTTAAACAAAGAACATTTGCTAAATTATTTTCCAAAGTTTGTATAAAATCTTCCTGTCATTCTTTTATGATTATCTTTGTTTTTTTTTGTTTTTGTTACAATAGTTTGATAGTCATTTTTCTATTCATCGAGAATATCGTTTTCAAGATCCAGCACTTTTCAATCTTGTTCAAGTAAATTTATTTTAATTGATTTATTTTGATTCTACTAATTCTTTTAGAATCTAAATACTGATGAAAATCGAAGGAAATTAAAAGATTGGCAACAAACATTAATTAACGTTTATTTATACTATGGAAAATTAAATGGTTGTCATTTAAATAATGAAAATCTTGATCAAATGCAATTACTCAATGGAAAACTTAGTCAATATCAATATAGTTTTGCGTAAATATATTCATTGAACTTTATAATTTATTATTTTCATTGTTTTTTTACAGTCAAAAACTTTTATATGCAAATAAAACATTTACACATCTTGAACTTGATCCATTCGCTTTTGATGATGTACCATATCATATAAAACAACAATTTGCAGTTGATAAGTATGATATTGATACACTGTGGGGATCCAAATGAACATTAGTTGAAAAATTAAAAGTGCACTTTTTAATAACTTAAATAGAACAACATATATTCTAACCTATGGATTACTTAATAACATGAAAGTCTTTATTTCTTTTGTTAGAATTAGTTGAAAAAACGCTGCGCTAGTAAGAATTAGAAGTCTTTTTTTTTACTATGAACAAAAAAATACAAAAAAGGAGAAGGCAGCCCTGAAAAAATTATATACTTAGGGCATACCAAAAGTAGTGGCAGTGACACTTTATTCCCTTATAGCGCGCTCAAAGAAACTTTCCTTATATATAGTTTGATAGAGAAAAAAAAGCTCTATCTTTCTATGCTATTTGATCATACTTCAACTTATATCATAATATCAAATTATCTATAAAACCTATTTCGGTTGGTTGTGTGCTGGTTGTACTAGATCATAACTTATGAGATAGGCTAGTTTTCAATCTCTTAATACATTGTACGAACAATCCAAATGTACCATAAGGTGCAGCGTGAAAAGCTCTACAATTTATATAAGGTCACTTATTTTATAACTGCACTTTTTGTTTTCAAAATCGACAAAATTTTGAGGGATCAAATTTTGAGTGCTGCGAAAATTAGTCGCATAGAATTTTCTTTTTTCTGAAAACAATTACAATGAGCTTTATTATGTAGATTGTAGAGCTTTTCACGCTGCATCTTCTGATATATTTTGTTTTTCTTTTGATGAAGCATATCAGGTGATGGAACAATGAAATAATAAAAATGAATTCGTTGCGTACCGGAAACATTATCTTTTTCGCATGGTCGCTATTCGATTACTCAAAATTTTGTCGATTTTGAAAATAAAAAGTACAGTTATAAAATAAGTGGCCGTATATAAATTGTAGAGCTTTTCATGCTGCATCTTATAGTACATTTGACTTGTTCATACAGTGAAAACTAATCTGTCTCAACGTTGTGATCTAGTACAATCAGCACATAACCAGTCGAAATAGGTTCTATAGATAATTTAATATTATGATATAAGTTGAAGTATGATCATATAGTATAGAAAGATAGAGCTTTTTTTTCTCTATCAAACTATATATAAGGAAAGTTTCTTTGAGCGCACTATAAGGGAATAAAGTGTCACTGCCACTACTTTTGGTATGCCCTAAGTATATATATATAATTTATTAGTCTTCGTATTAAAAAAATTTTTAAACAATATTCAGCAGAAAATAAATCATATCTTCGCATGCTGTATGGAAAAATGCCCACTGTGGGATATATATATATATGTTATTCTTATATTTGATGACTTTTATATTTAATATAGAGCTAAACCAGATTCAGGACCATGGAAACTTGATTTATCTGATCGGACATTTCATATAATAATGTCTTATTGTGGTAATCGATCATTAAGGAAACTTATGTTTGAAGCCTATTATGGTCGTGCATCACCATCGTCTACTCGATTAAATCGAAATGTAGATAATATTGTTGAAATAACTCGAAAAAGGTTTTAATTTATTATTTCAAAAAAAAAATATATATGTATATACATTTTATTTAGAAAGTCATTAGCTAAATTTCTTGGTTATTCTTGTTTTGCTGATATTGTTTTACAATCTAAAATGGCTCGTAAAAAAGAAACAGTACAAGAATTTATTGAAACAACCCGTTCAAAATTAAAACCAATACATGATGAAGATATTCGTCAATTAACGGCATATGCACAAGAAAAATCAAATAAACCAAAAGAATATGAACAATTACAAGCATGGGATGTTGCTTATTGGCGTCATAAACAATGTCGAGATTTATATTCATCATTAAAGATTGATCCACTACAAATAAGTCGACATTTTTCATATGAACATGTGTTACAAGGACTTTTTAATTTTGTTGAATTTCTTTTTGGTGTTAAATTTGAATTAGAAAATAATTTTGATGAACAATATAAATGGCATACCGACGTACAAGTTTACAGATGTACAGAAAATGGTAACACAGAGATTTTTTTTTCTTTTATTTTTCTTATTCAGAAGGGAGATAATATAAACTATTTAGGAACGACAATTGGTCATTTGTTAATTGATGCATTTGCTAGACCAAACGAAAAATCAGAATTATGTATTGGTACAGCAGGACGAGGTTAGTGAATTATACAAAATATCTATGCTTAATATTCGTTATTTTCTTTCTCGAAAGATCTTTGCCAACGTCATAATATTTTACCAATTGCTTATCTCAATATGAGTTTGCCACGGATTGAAGGAACAGCAACTTTGATGGCGTTGTCTCAACTCAAAGAAATGTTTTTTGCTGTACGTCTAAATAAGTTTTTGAATTATTAGAAAAATCACTAATGAGAGAAGTTTTCAAATTGATAAGTCGCTTTTGAGATGAGACTATGTGTATTATGTAGACCAAAATGAGCTATGAGTACTCTGACAAGAGTTCGTGCCCTTAGGTTATTGCTGTGGAGATATTGCACTTTTATGGTATTTTTTAAATACATACCGCAGTCTAGGAAAACTAATTTTCGAATTTTGACTTGAAACTTTTCATAGATAGGAGTAGGTTTTTATCAAAGTTTCACGTCTTTTGATTTGCTTTTATGTTGAAATACGAATATCAAATCTGCCAATTTATATGAGCGATGTAAAACACACGCCATTATCATCATTGTATCTTAAGATATGAAAAGCGTCAAGATCTGATACATTGAAAATAAATAATCTTATTAAGGCCTATCTCTCTATGCAAAGTTTCAAGTCGAAATTCGAAAAATAGGTTTTTCTGATGCTCCTCAAGGATACGGTATTCATTTAATAAATATTGAAAAAGTACAGTATCTTCGCAACAATTAGCTGAGCACACGAACTCTTTTCTTGGTATTCATAGCTTATTGGAGTCTACATAATGCATATAGTCTTGACTCAAAAGCGATAACTGTATACTGAAGTTTATTTTTAAACTATTTTATTACTTTCTTTCTTTTCTTAAGTTTGGTCGTGTTCTTCAAGTTCTTCTTACTCGTTCGTCAAATCATGAATTATCTGGTATACGTAATCTTGAAGCTGATGCACTTGATATTGTTCCAAATTTTTTTCTTCAATGGCTTCGTGATCCAAATATTCTTTCATATATAAGTCAAAATGTTGAAACAAAACAAATTCTTGATTCTTCCGTTTATCATCGTGCTTTAAATCAAGTTGATCATCATATGATATCACATGATATTCTTCGACAATTATATTTAAGTGCATTTGATCTTGAAATTCATACAAATGCAACTAATTATTATGATGCTATGAATAAATTATGGTCATTATTTACACCAATACCATTACATAATCGTGATTTTCATCCATGTAGTTTTGAACAAATCTATTCTGAACAATTAGCATCAGCTTATTATTCACATAAATGGTCTGAAATGATTGCATGTGATTTATTTAATGCTTTTAAAGAAATAGGAATAAATGATAAAGAGAAAATTTCAGCACTTGGAAAAAGGTAATGAAAAAAAGAAAAGTTAAATTTCATGTTTTTTTCTATGTTGATAATATATTTTTAGATTTCGTGAAACAATCTTAGCACGAGGTGGTACAATTAGTATGCGAGAACTCTTTCGAGAATTTCGATCACGTGATCCAAGTTATGAATATTATATTCAACAATTAACAACTAAATTTTAAACTGTTTTGGTTTTCTAATTTGTATTGTTCTGACGTGGCTTTTTGTTTGTAGTTAATAAGTAAAGTGTGACAGAAAAGAACAAGACATCAATAATAAAACGTTGAACGCAGAACAAAATAAAACTTTTAATGAATTTTAATATTTGTCTTTTTAGTTCATATTTTTCAAATGTATTCTTTAGTGAAATATCTCAATTATTTTACTGATTGATCAGTTATTTCTTTGTAAAAGGAAAATTGAAAACAATAGTTGTCACGAATAACTTGTTTGATGAAGTATTTTATCATATTCGACTAGATTCTATAATAAACTGCTCTACTTTTGGAACATTTGAATCATTTTTCTTAAATCTTATTTAAAAAATTCTAATGAACAAATTGCATATCTCAGAATTCCCCTAAAACTTCCCAGAAAGTCCCCAAATTTTAGGGAGCCCCTCTAAAATTTTTATAAATTCGAATTTTTTAGAGAATTTCAATGGTGGCTTCCAGAAAGATTCTGATAATACTCATGAACTGCCTGGGGAGCCCCCGCGAAGTCCTTGCGAAATCTCTAAGAAGTCCCTGAGGAGCTTCTGAATCCCCTCTTAACTCTTCCAGGGACTCACGACAGGGATTCCTCTGGGATTCTTCTAGGAAGTCTTGACTAGGGACGTCTCAACGTTACATTTGCGTTGATTTTTTACCAGAATTAGATTTTTTATTTACATAACAAGATCAGTTAAACTGCAATATTTACTTGCTTGTGTGTGTAGTCACGGATAAAAAAATAAGTGAATGCATCATGCAGCGCACATTTTTTTAAACATTCGATTGACTGTGTATTATCACCGATTAAGCCTTGTTTATGATATAGGACAGAATAAGCAAACGATAATAATATGTTTACAATATCAATGAGATACGTCAATAATAAATCATACGCATATAATTTATATAAGTGGATGAATGCGCAAAAGCCGTGCTTATTTATTGTGTATATAGGTAAAAGACAAGGCTTTTCTCTCACACACACAACAAACTCGTTACATTACACTGTTAATCTAATGGACGGCCTAGGCTAAAATGGCTACTTTTTTTCATAGTATTTGAGGCACCTCTCGGTAGTCTAAAGAGTCGGTTGTAAGCTCATTCGATAGAGAATTTATTTCTCTACGAAACTGTCGACTTTGTTTTTCAAATAAAATTTTCTTATCGGCGCAAAAACTAAAAGATTAACACCTGCTTAATCGTCCAACTGCCACCTCCTGTTCTCCGGTGATCTCTATAGGTTTGTGTAAGACTATGCTTATCAAATCCAGTGCTAAAAGTAAAATAGTTAACATCAATAGATAGAGTATTTTATGTTCTATGCTTCCACGAGCTTTTCAAGATTCTTGGTGCTATCGTTTAAGAGAAAAAGGCTTGCAAACAATACCTGGTGGTATTTTTGAATGCATTTTGGAAAATCATGTTTTCAAAAATCAGACTTGCCTCATGAAACATTTTTTCTCATGCTATCGAATGTAGAATTTAATTCTGAACAAAATGATGTGATTGTTAAGTTAAACAATGATAGCTTTTAGGTTATTTTCAATTAAAACAGTACAATGACAAAGGTCTGTCCGAAAAGGAATTATCCTGTGTTTTCACATTTTTTACTTCAAAAGTCTTTTTCTCGCAAATGTTTCTTCTAAAATTCTGAAGCATACATTAAAAGATGCAAAGTTTTATGGAGAAACGTTGCACCATATTTGAGATTTCAACAAAACTGTTATTAAAAATTTTTCATCATTTTTTCGTTTTTTTTATTGCTACAGTTAGACGATTGAGCAGGTGTTAATATTTTAAATTTTGCGCTGACAAAAACTTTTATTTAAAAAAACAAAGTCGACAGGTTTGTAGAGCAATGAATTCTCCATCGAATAAGCATAGAATCAACTATTTGGACCACTGGAAAGTGCCTCAAAACCAAAGAACAACAGTAACCATTTTATTCTAGGTCATCCGCTAATTATGTATGTTCCATTAATATCAGTTATAAAAAAATCCCTATGAGCCGAATCAGGTTCTCATGCGCCCTTGTCCTTTAAATGAAATTAAAAATCTTATATGACCGAACACATCGATAAATTTTTTTAATTTATGTACACATAATGTCCGACAAAAGTCAATATTAATCTAAGAATAGCTAATCATTAACGAATGAAGCTGTTTATTTGCAGTAGAACTTGTTGAAGATTACAATTCTTATTTGAGAGATAATAAAAGTTTTAAATTCTCTCTAATATCATTCATCACTCTTTTCAATGAGAAAATATGGGCACAAGTAACGAAAAGGTGACATGACCGTCATCAATTTGATTTTAATTCATTCTAATGGTTATTTGTTTTTTTAAACAAGTTCTTTTCTCATGAATATACGTAAAAATATTGACTGTTTCAGCTCATATCCAATTAAACTTAATTAGTGAATAACTTTCTACAAGTATAATGAACAGGTCCAAGAACTTCAGAATCGACTCCGCGCCACTCACTCTATCTATATTGAAATTTTCAGCAAGATGGAACTTTGAAAAATTACATCCCAAAAATCGGTTTTCCAGAGATTTACTCTTGTCTCAGAATGAGACTTTTCATTTTGCTATGATCTTGAGATTCTCAAGAAGATTTTTCGTTTCTATATGTCTACTTGATCGTGCCACCAACAACAAATAATAGTAGTATGTAAATCTATTATTCGACTACCAATTTTATAGTAATCAATACACTCAAATTTAAAAAGAAATGAGTTTAATAAAAATCTTTGTCGTCATTTACATACATGAGCTGGTGCTGGATGTTAGTGTGGCAAATACACCTGTCATACATGTCCACTATATCTATAGCAGGTCTCAACGCTCTATTATATATATATCAATAAGTTCACAAACACTGACATTGACTATTGTCCAAATTTATTACTTGATCAATTCACGCTTTTTATGTTGATCATATAATGATTGTGGCAATGCAATGCATCACTACTCATCATCCTTGACATCTTGAATATTAAATTTTATCTGTGCAAAAATCAAAAACTGCATCGTTTAGAACATTGACAAATGTATTCCAGCCATTCAAATCTCGATCAAGACTTTGGAATGTTCTACTATTGTAAAAGTCTTGTCGTTCATGCCATTCCGCACCTTTTTCTGTTGTTAAGGAACCCTAGGAAAGGGATCTGAAATTCGTTGTCATCGATGACTAAGGTTTGTACTGGAAGAAGGAGCAAGTAACAAAATTTTGCCTTAAAACTTATACTCACTGTTTTCTTCGAAAATATATGTGAATTCCACAACATTTTTCAATATTAAACATTTAGATGAGTACTAATGAACAAGATCATCGATAACTGCCTGTTAAAACAGGACCAGTTTAAAAACAGATATTCTGGAATAGTTTTTTTCATTTCACCACAAATCATATGTCAAATTTCTAAACTGAACGTATTTTAATGGTCTCAATGATGTTCACAATAGAGATGTGTTAACTGTATTTCCATAACTTTCATATATTTCATGCGACATTCTTCACAATAAAGATCATTCATATTGTATTGAAAAACAAAAAAACTTTTCTACTAATGTACATAAACTAGTTTTTTATTTAAAAAGCCAGACTGAAATAGGTAATAAATGGCAAAAAAAAATCCGATGAGGTTTGACTGTATATATATCAGACATAAACAATAACATATAACCATAAAAACGAATGTTCGTTTGTTTTTCTCTTCATTCAACTTCTCTTGAACTGATTTATTTGATCATCAATATGTTCTAATAAATTTGTCATAGAATTCATTTGTTTTTCAACTGATATTAAACGTTCATTAAACATTTGTAAATATTCAAGAACAGTTATTTGACCAGTACGAGATTGACTAGATGAACGGTTTCTCGGAGATCTTGATATAAAACTACTTTGATTAGTACGTGATGACATCGTACTATCACGTGATGAAGGTAAATAACCAAGTGTTGAATCAAATCTTAAGAAAATAACAAAATGAAAAGACCAATGATTGATTTATTTCGTTAAACTAATAATTACTTTCGTTGTAAATCTTTTAATCTAGCCATTAATGTTTGATTATCTTCAGCTGTTTGTTTAACAAGTTCTGTCATATCACTTGGTTTTCTTGCTTCCTTTATTTTACATAGAAAAAATTCATAAAATAAACACTTTTTACACGAAAATTTACCTGAAATTTTCGACGTGCAACAAAAAATTTCATTCGTCGCATTACACGAATAGCTTGTTTAAATTTTTCTGGTAATCTTTAAAGAATTAAATTTATTTGAATTAATGTTCAATCAATAAAAAACTCACTGATCTATCCCTAATTTATTTGTTAATGGTGAACTATCCGATAATGATTGATCACCTTTATTACAAAAGTAAAATTCTATTGAATAGATATTCATCTAAATTTTCTTTACCGAAATTATGAGCACCAGATCGTCGTCGAAGTATTGAACTATTACGTGTTCTTGATATCATTTTGTCAGCTATAAAATATAAAGTTAATTTTCTTAAGGCTTTTTTGTTTATTTCAAAAAAAAAATTAAATATTCAAACCAAAATGAGGATCAACAAGTTTATATAGACGCCATGTTGCATTATCTTGTTGAAGACGACTTGTTGCATACATACGCCATGCTGCTTGAATTAATTGTGCTGCAGCTGGATATTGTTTATGAAACATTTTTTGTTTTTCTTTTTGTTGAACATGTAATGCAAAACCAGATCCTTGAATAAAACAATATTAATTATAAAATTATTAATCTATATACAAACCTAAAATGCCCTAAAAATAAATAAAAAGAAAATATTATTTAATTAAATAAGTAGATTACTTACTGCCGGTAAACTAAAAAAAGCAATACCAATCATAGATAAACAAGCTGTTACAATTCGTCCTGCCCCTATTGATTTCAATATCAAAAGAAAAAAAAAAGAATTGAAATCTCGTTCTAGTTTTTGTTTTGTAACTTACATGTATGTGGAACACGATCTCCATATCCAATTGTAGCAACTGAGAAATTTTAATAAACAATTATATTATTCGAATAACATTTCCTACCTGTTACAATACCAAACCAAAGTGCATCAGCATAAGATTCAAATGGTTTCTTTCCTTCAATAATATAATCTCGTTCAGCCAAATAAACTAAATAAGATGTAATAATAAGTACAATAAAACCCATATACATTGTTGTAATTAATTCAATTCGATGAAGATATGCTACATTAAGAAGAAGTTTCCATGAATGTGCTTTACGATCAACATGTAACATGCGTAAAATTTGAAAAAAACGAATTATTCTAAATATAAATAATTCAACTTATTCAAGAAAATCATCTTATTATTTTTACCGAAGTGCTGGTGATGCTGCCATGACTGAAAGAAACGAAAAAACAAAATAGAGAATATGCATAATATATTATACTATGAGAAAAAAGTAATAAAATGTAAATGAAAAACTGTTAGCTCTATTCCTATGAAATTAAAATGCACTACATTACGTACAAGCAAGTAGACTTTGAAAAACTATCGAGAGCCCTGTCCATTTGTCATAGTTTGTGGGAAGTATATTATTTTCATATTCTCACCTGGATTCGTTGAACTGATTCGACCGCTAATATGGAATCCAATAACAATTGATGAAGCAAAAACAACAAATAAATCAATCAAACTTATTGGCGTTCTCATAAAATGAAATCTTCCAATCCAACCTTTAAATTTAGCACGACAGCCAGCTGACCATACACGTATAACATATTCCGATGCAAAGAAAAGTACCAAACAAATTTCCTAGAAAAGAAGCAATTTCTTTCTCAAACGAAAGCTTTTTTTTTTCTTATTTTTAAAATTTACCACATAAATAAATTTTTGTGTTATTAGTTCTTCATATTCACCTATGGTACATATAACACCGATGACCAAACAGCAAAGAACGATAAGAAACCTAAGAAAACAAATTTTATTTTAGTTATTTTTTTCATCGCATCAAATCAAGAACAATAGCTATAGAAAACATGCAAACGACAAAAAGAAACGTATTTTTATACAAACAATCAACTTACGACTATTTATTTTCATCAGTCTTGTTTTTGTGCTATAAAAATTCTTTTTTTTTTCATGCCTTTTTTTTTTTGAATATATCAAAAGTATTCTTTCTCTTTTTTACTCACTTACACCAAAAAATGATAGGCGAAACAAATCCAACCACGACTAGGTCGTTCTATTAAGAAAAGAGAAATTTTCAAATAGTTTTTTTTTTTATTAATTTAAACATTTTATTTTAATACCAAGAAAGTTGTAAACTTTCTTTTGAAATATTTTCATATCCATACTAAAGTATAATCCATCATCTGATCTCATTATCTATAAATAGACATGCTCTATATTTCCCTTTTTTTTTTATATATCAAATGAAAAAAAGAAAAAGAAACTCAATACAGATGTTTTTTATTATTCAAAAAAAAAAACAACAAGTAATAATACATTATCAAACAGTTTGATTGATTCGATCAGTACATAATTTTTCAATATCATCTAAACTGAGATGATCAATAGTATTTTTCATTTCCTAGAAAATAAAAAATATTTTATTTGATATTTAATTTTTTTTTTTGTTTTTATTTTTATTATTTACTCTTTGAAAAGCAGTTACAAATGCTTCACGTTCATTTGGATTTTGAATCCATTTTGATGCAAGTAAATAAAGTTCATTTATAAATGCATTATTAACTGGTTTAGTTGATATTGTTGAATGTTGTGTTGAAATAATTAAATGTAATTTTGAACCATCTACTATTTGATAATCTAGTATTGAGCCATCATGTAATGGTTTACCTTTAAGAACTAATTTTTGTTGACTTATTGGAATATTTAATTGATCAGAAAGACGAGATTTGATTTGTTGAATTGTATCAAGTGGAGATACCTGAGATTTGATTTGTTTCATTAAATAATAATCATATATATAAATGAAACTTACTTCTAATTGAATTTCGGCTAATGCCGGATTGTTAAGTACTTTAATATGAATTAACATCTAGAAATGAGCGTATATCCGCATAGATACAATTGTTTATTTCGCTTCTCTGTTTTCTCTCTTAGATACATATACTCAATTAGATATTTATCTCTAAAACATGGAAATATATATAGCTGAAGGAACGAAGAAAAATCTAGTACACAAAGAATTGTTTCGAACAAAGACACATTGCTTGATCAAATAAACGAAAAGAAAAAGAAAAGAAATAAGCAAAACAAAAGCACACAGAGAGTCAATAATTATCTCCATGATGAAGACGATCACACGATGATGATGATAATAATAATGATAATAATAATAATAATAATAGGTAGCGTAATTAACAACACAAATGATCAAGAGCATAATATAAAAGAAAAAGAAAATGAAATGAAAAATTTAATCTCATTCATCGATTTGTGATAATGGTGCGGAGACATTTTCATTAGCACCTTGTCGGTGTCGTTTCGCAGCGCGTAATTTTGCAATACGTGATTTTTCTGGTGCAAGTTGATTGATATTTTCATCGTCATCAGCATCGGCTCGACGTTGAGCATGATTAGCTGCAGCAACTAATGATAGATACAAACATTAAGAAAAAAAAGAAACTGATTCTTCATAATAAACTTACTCTCAACCTAAAATACAAAAAAAAAACTAATTAAATTTATAAAAAAAAAATTTTAAGTTTTCTACATACACGCATTTGTTCATAATTTTCAGCATCAAGCATTGGACGAATATCAATTGGTGTTTCAGGTACTGTACCTGTAAACCATGGACATCTAAGAATCCAATCAATAGTTACACGAGTAGCTGGATCGACTGTAAGCATTTTTTGTATAATTGATTTTGCTTCTTGTGAAACATTTTTCCATTCAGATTTTGGAAATTGATATTCACCGGCTTTTATTTTTGTTTTCATTCCAGCACTAATAGCACCACCATGTGTAGAAAAGAATGGAGGATATCCACATAATAATATATACATTATTACACCCATTGACCAGATATCGCACGCCTTTATTTTGGATAAAATAAAAACAAATTCTAATTTATTTTATATCAATCAAAAAGAAATTCACTGATTACTTTATCATATTTATCATTTGATAAGATTTCTGGTGCAACATAGTACGGAGTATAACTATTAAAGAAAAATAAATAATAACAATAGAATTCTTTATTTAATCTATATGAAAAGTCATGGGTGGATAAATATAACAAGTATGTCAGAATAAATGCTTATCCTAAATATTTTCTTAATATCTTGGTTAGTATTTATCGCTATGCATTAATTCTTCTTCTTGGAAAAAGATTCATAATACAATTCTCTACAAGAAAGTATCACAAGTTTTGCTATTACATGTTAAATACTACGAGACTCCGACTTGTCCAAATTTAGAGATGTGTAGGGTAAGCTTTTTTTCCGTACTCTGACTGGAATCTATGTGTTGGAAATTTGAACTAACGAAAAAAATCGATTTGCTTGAGAAGTTCTATCTTTTAATCATATTAGCAAAGCTTTTATATTAGTATCGGCGACGTAAATAAATTATTTCTTTGTTTAAATTTTACAAAAACAACTGTTTTGAATCAATGATTTTGGAGCTCTCAGATAATTTAGCATACAGTTGAACAAAAAAAGAAATGCATGAATATAACTCAGCTCTATTTCAATTTCAAGAAAAACAAATGATGTATTAGATTAATGTACTAGAATTTAAATAGGAACTTATTGTTCTGCTTAATATTTCGTAGAAAAACTTGTGATATGTATTTGTAGAATATTGTGTCATGAATTGTAAAAAAAGATCAAAACATACCAATGCACTTTGACCGAAATATTGGAAAACATACCTCGAAGTACATTTATTCTAGCGCACCCATTATTATTTGACCTTTATTTCAAGGATATTTTCGCATTCTTTTCAAAGAACGATTTATAAGAAAAATTATCACTAATATAATCGATAAATCTGAATGATTTGTTCTATCAATTACAATATAAAAATTTTACTTAACATACGACGTATTCATATATGACAAATTAAATAATTCATTTTATAAAAAAAATATTCTCCTACCATGGAGTATTTAATGGACGTTGTTCATTATTTCCTTAAAAAATAAAATGACATATATAAAGATATATGTTAATAAAACTCATTTTTAATATACCTTCTTTAGCAAATCCAAAATCAGTTAATTTCAATAAAGCAGCATCAGATGTATCTGTGAAAAGTAAATTTTCAGGTTTAAGATCACCTATATTAAATTAAATAAATAGAAACAAAAAAAATCTAATTGTACATTAGAAGTAAATCACTCACGATGAGCCTAAAAAAGGAAAAAATAATAAAAATAAAATAAACAAATTCCAAATCGATCTTACCATATCCATATGATGTAAATGTATTACAGCTTTAGCAATCATCAAAATAATATGTGCTGCTTCACGTTCTGTATATGGTTTATCTTGTCGTTCTCGAATACGATTAAATAACTCTCCACCTTCCATACTAAAAATAAAAACAGATGACGATTAATTAATCCTATTTACAAAAAAAAAATAACAAACCATTCCATAATTATAAGTAAACATCGATTTGATGCATACATATTTTCCTTTAAAAACAAATAATAAATATTTATAAAAATTTTAAAAAAATCAAATATTTTTTCAACATACATATACATCAAGTACTTTAACGATATAATCACATCCTTCACAAGCTTTTCTATGTAAAATAACTTCACGCCGAGCTTTATCTGAATCCTTTAAAATCTACAAAAAACCAAAAAAAATTCGTATCAAAATTATTTTTGAAAAGAAAAGTTAATTTACTTTTAATGCACATTTACGTCGTGTTTCACGATGATAACAAGTAAGAACTTTACCATTAATACCAACACCTAATGATTCTTTTGATACTTCATATTGATCTGTAACAGCATTACGATGTGTTGAAAATGGAAATTGACGATATTTTTCCGAGATATTTGATGGTCTAAAGAAATAAATTTTCTTTACTTATTTCAGTAAGAAAAGAAAAACCAAAAAAAAAAGAAATAAATTATTCTATTCAAATATACATATTAGTCTAGTTTTACTTACATATTTTCACTCGTATGGATAGCTGTTACACCAGAGTTATCTTGTTTCTGCTGCTGCTGCTGCTGCTGCTGCTGCTGAATTTTTGTTTCATCAGTAGGTTTCGAAGAAGATGAAGTATTATTTCCTCTTCTATATTTTCGAAAGAAATCTCGAAGACCCATTTTCAATTATTTTCTATCTTCAATAACTATGATAGTTTGGGGCACAAAATAAAATGTAGATCGTAAAACAAAGAAAAAACAACACTGTACAACGAGATTTAATAAAAATCATATGGTTTCATTCCCATTTTATGTCAATACATCATGTTTTGATAATGACGTTTATTATTATCTTGGTTTTTGATTTCAATATCGCCTACATGATGTATTAATGTGTCAATACACCATATATAAAATATTAGGTGTATACTGCTAGTATCGTGTCATCATGATGATAGATGACTTATGTCCTTTTTCTTCTCATTATCGAACGACTATTCTATATATAGTGATACATTCTAAGCACGTTCGTCATCATTATTGTGATACTTCTCTATTTTTATTGGTTATATGTAATTCATGCAATATCTCGTAAAGTTTGTGTAAATCCCATATTATTTACATAGAAAAATAAATTAAAAAAAAACCAGCGATATACTAAAACGAAATCTTGTTTTTTATTATCTTACACTAGTTCTTGATGTATATCTTGAAAATGTTTAAAAAAAAATGAAATAGGTAAGACGTCATTATGTAGTGTCTACATCGACTTCAATTCCTCGATGACATTTTATAGAAAAAAACATCGACGTGGGATGTAAAAGTCCACCAACAGCAGCATTAGAAACAAGAAAAAAAAACAACTTCTGTTATTCGGTCTATACACAAAATGTTTTTCATGGTTGTTGTTTTTTTTTTGTTGAAAAACATCAATGTTTACTTGTCGTATTTGATTTTCATTATTACTACCTACTTTTTACTCGACGATGTTTTTTTGTCTGCCATTAAAGTGGTCGTAATATAATTCGTCTTACACAAAGAAAGAGAATCAAATTTTATCTAAAGGTAACCATATATAAACAATACGAAATTTCGAATCATTGATTTTTTCTTAAACACATTATAAAATTGTATTACATCATGAATGAAATATATGTATTTTTTTTTCTCCTATACATTTCTATATATTGAAATGACATCAAGGCAAATAATAACAACAACAACAAACGAAAGAGAGAAGGAAAAAACAGAACAAACATAATGATGACGAATGAATAAATGACATCGAGCAAATATAAATTCATTCTTTATTTAAAATTATGATTAATTATAAAATCCATTAAATATTTTATTCGAATGATAAAATCATTTTGACAAAATTCAAAAATAAAAATTTCTAAACTGATAGCGCTATAATCGTAGTAGTCATTTTCAACCAATGAAAATCTATCTTGTCAGCTGCTTATCCATTACTATCATATTGTGATTATTTTTCATCCAAATAGTGTAGCTTTATCAGTTAATGAAGTTTTTTTTGTGACTTTCAATCATCCAAAACAAAAGATAAAACAATTTGTTTATTTTAGACATTAAAAAAAAAATTTTTTTATTATTTTATGGCCGAATTAGAACGTCCACGAATACGTACAGAAAAGGTAGAATTGAAGAAATATATCTATTATTTTCTCTAAAACAATTAAATTTTCTTATCTATAGAAACAAGCCAAAGAAAGAACTGTAGATGATGAAGAATCACAATTAGAAAATCGTATACGTGATTTAAAAGAATATTTTGCTGAAAGACAAGTAATTTCATAAAAATTGACTTTTTGTATAGAATAAAAAATATAATTTTACGTTTTGTTTTTAAACAAAGAATGAAACTACAGATGAAACTGTTGACAATAACAATTTAAATACAGAAGAATCTTCAACTGATATTGAACAAAATCATGTACATTCCGAACATACAACGAATTCAGAGATAAACACAGATGAAAGTCATATGAAATCTGATGAAACTACACAAGATATTGGGATAAATGAATATGATCAAACTACAGTTACCGAACAAATCAACGAACCATCTATAACAATCAATGATAATAACAACGAAACTGTCGAAGATAGAACTGTATGTAAATATATGATTGAACAGTACTGACAGATATACAGAATCAACTTTTTTTCCTGCATCTTTGATATCTTATCGGAATTGTTTAGTAGCAATCAAAATTTCAGATAGAAAAAGAAAACACTTTCTTCGATATTTCTCGCAGAAATTTTAATGAATTTTCTTTTTCTTATCAAACTCATTGATGATAAACATCAACTGTGAAAAATTTTAAATCACTCCGCGCAATAGAAGACTTCTATCATTATGTTCATGCGTACAAATTTTTCAGAGGACCTTCTATTGTGTCTAACACCTAGAAATTATGTTGACCTCAGTTATGTAAAATAGGAATAGTTTAATCTAAATATATTAATCAAAGCTTTAGTTTTACAAGAAAATCTACAAGATGTTCCAAAAGTCTTCAAGAAAAGTTTACGCAAATATCTGCTATACAATTCAAGATATTTAATCGATGTTTTTATAGTATGATAAAGTCGACGAAATTCATGATATTTCTGAAAATGTACCATTATTGAGTATTAAGACTACATTTGACGAACAACAGCACACCGCAATACGACTGAAAACCTTTTAATGGAACCATACAAGCTATAATTTGTCTAATAAATTTGCAAAGAAGATTTATAAAATCGAGTTGAAGTCATATGACTTGGACATCAATGTTAGAGAGCAGAAACAATCAAGAGAATTCGTTTTTTTTCTGCCTTACGGAATCATTTTTCACTGAAATGGTTTATTGATAAATATAAAATGGAAATCAATTAAGTTCGAAAATAAACTTTCTGCAGTGATTGTTAGACAAGAGTAGACTGAAGAGAAGATACCATTTGTTATCATATATCAGACTAAGAAACATAAATATTCGTCATCATTAACGAAAATTTGAAAATCTATTTGAATTTGTTTTTTTTTTCGATGTTTATAGACATATGAATTAAATGAAGATCAATCTGAAATCAGAACAACTAGTGATTTACCTGAAGAAATATCTTCATCAAATTTAATTAATTATGATAATTCTGCTGTTCTTTATCCTCATTTATCATTATGGTCTCCAGCTACAGCACCATTACCATCATTTGATATTGATACAAATACAACAATAAATGATCCATATTCAATAGAAAATTTTAATCCATCTCTTTTACAATATGAATTACGTCAAACATATTTACCATTTATAAATATAACTGATGAATATTTTCTTAGTGAACATGAAAGTTTTATAACAGATAATCCACGTCATCGTTCATTAATAACAAAAGATGAAAATGATTTAAAACATTCTAATGATGATGATGATGAATTTTATTTTTTAATATCATCATTTTATGATATACGTACTAAAATTGATCAATTAACAAATGAATATGATGTATTACAACGAAAAATTGCATCTTTATTACCACATGTATGGTCATTTTCATGTGAAAAAATTGAATCCGGTTCATATTGTGGCGATAATGTTTATTTAAAACGTTCAATATTATATGAACAAGCAAATTTTGATCGAAATTTAGCTAAAGAAATTGAAGATACATTAAAAAATTTACGTACAATTATATATCAACAATATGTTGCATTAAAATATGAAACATTATGGTATAAAATGAAAATTGATATATATATTTATAATTTAATATCATTAAATAAATCAACAAAAAAATTATTACATGTAATTGAAATTTTATTTAATTTTCAACGTTATCGTACACGTGATACTTTATTTTATACATATACAAGACAATTATTAAAACAAACAATTGATATTGTTTATAATTATGGAAATTATAATGAAACATTATTTATTATTAATCATGTACTTCGTTGTCCACCTGGTATACATCAATGGGCAACAAATTTTGTAAGATTTTTATTACCAACATCATTTGATATACTTTGTTCACCTATGTATATACGTTATGTTGCACATTTTCTTGCTACACTCTTATTTCCAATTAAAAGTCGTGATATATTTTTACAAAATTGGTTAGGTGAAAATGGTGAAACAGTACCACAAGTATCATCATTGAATACAATCAAAAATCAACAACAACAACAATGGATGTTAATTGATGCTGATGGACATGAACGTGCAGCATTATTAAGATGGGATACATTAAATGAAGATGATTTAATTGCTTTATTAAATCAATTTAATTTAAATTATTTAATGAATATACTTTTTAGTTTAAATGATCAAACAAATCAAAATCAACAAAATATATCTTATGAAAATACTGTACGAATATTAGCAATATTAGATTTATTTGTTGAAATACTTTGTCGTGGTTTTGATACATATGCTGATTCACAATATAAAAATTTTCATAAACATATTGGAAAAATGATTAGGTAGAATTATTTTATTTTGAATATTCAATTTGAATTTATTCAAAAATTAAGAGAATAAGTTTTTTTTTCTATATTCTAGAAGAGGAAGGTTTACAAAAAGATTATGTAGTATATTAAAAGCATATAAAAAGAGATAAAATTTTGCATGTACTTCATAACCGAAATTAGAGGTCAACAAGTTCATTTCTAATTCAAATCTATGAAACTATTTGAAAAGTTCTTTTGATAGCAGTTAATCTATTTTATTAGTTCAGCCGCCATGACTAAGTGGCTACGTTGTTCGACACGTATCTATAAAGTACTTTGTGCAATTTTTCGTATTAACAGCCATAGAATGACCCTAGACAAGTTCGATCGGCCAGCTTAAAATTGGCACTACCAGCGGACTCCCTATTACCACTTCTACCTATGATTATATGTGTACAACAAAACATTATAGAATTGCTTATACCGAACGTATTAAAATATTTTTTTCTGCATAATTTGTTTTCGTGAAATTCCAACAAGAAGTTCATTATATATTTAATGAACAACATCAATTAGGGCCAATAAGAATGTTGCAAGAGTCTCGATGAAAGAAGCAGAAAAGTAAAAAAATTAAACCGGTCAGTTGCCAGTACCAGTCCCATCTATGGACTATATTGTGACATATACCTGCTCTTATGATGAGTTAGTATATATAAGGAGCGCAAGGATTCTGCGTCAGGTCGATCTGCTGCCCAAAACTACAACTAGTATTAATGATAGGAAAGATATTAGGCTAGTGAATCTGCCGTTAGGTAGCTGAGAATTTGAGAAGAGCAATTTAGGTTTAAAACACCTTTGTTATGCTACTGAAATGCTGTTCCTAAAACAGAATAAAATTTTTCGGAGAACTTATTTCAGAGAACTAAATTGTTTGAACAGATCTTGCGATATAATCTGATTTGTTCGAACATTTCTCTCTCTCTCTCGTTTTATCTGAACCTTGAATTAGGAGCTAATTGTTTGTCTATGACTTTAATTTAACTAATCTATCAGTTTACTTTATACATTATTCTAATCTATGACGCAAAAATCTTGGATATTTAAAGACAACTAGTTAGAATCTTGCCTTGTCGTTCTTTTCGAATATGTGCTCAGAATTTCCTTCTCATGTAAGATTGGACAACTTCAAAATAGTGATTGTACAGAATACAATTTTATATTTCAATTGAAACCTATCGAGTTCAAAATGCAAAACAGTTTCTAATGACTCAACTTTTTTTGTTCTACAAAGCGTGATATTTATTTTTGCATGACAGATTTTTAAAACTTTTGTATACACATAGATGAGATTTTGTTACAAAATTCAATACTCTACAGTAATGTTGAGTTGAAACTGTGCGAATGATTTCAAACAGATTTTAAAAGTTGTAGTTCGAAATTATTTTTATTTTGCAATATTATATAGAAAAATTTTTATTTTATTCTTTCAGAGATTGTGTTCATGTATGTCGATATCATGTCGATTGTGTACTTCAACATTTAGATAATGATGATAAAATTCGTTTAAGAGATCATTATTTTGCTTATATCTATCGATCAGTTGAAAATATAATTCGACAATGCAGGTAAAATTAAATAATCAAAACTAAAATATTAAATCAATTGAATATTCTTCCATATTGATTAGAAATGTTCGTTGGAGTTTATTATCATTATTTGCACTTTTTGATCTTCCACAATCATTACAATATCGTTTACTTCATCTTATTTGTTCAATACCAGATGATGAACAAATAACAAGTAAGTAAATAAATTTAAATTTATTGATGTTTATTTTTTTTAAATAATTTTTATATATTATTATTTAAGTTGACACAAGTACAGCTATCGATTCAATGTTAAATTCAGCAACACCAAGTGAAATTTTATCACTTCTTAAAGTTCTTCATAATTTAGGACAAACAGGTGATGAATCTGGTCAAATATCAAATGTTATTTTTTATATTACGTGTCTTCATCCAATATCACGTGAATATTCATTACGTGATGGTCGTTCAATTTTAGCACATTTTGCTTCATTACGACCAACAATAATAAGTCATTTAGTAAAATTAGCATCAACACATATTGATGCTGTTGGAAAAGTTTTATTTGGATTATTTCGTTCATTACCAATGGATATATGGATGCCAAATGATAGTGATTTATCAATAATTGAAAAATGGCTTAATGATATATCACAATCAACAATTGCATTTCAATTAGCATTGCATTTAATTGATACAATGAATTGGCAAGATTTACCTGATAAACGACAACTTTGTATATCATATACAATACATTGTGAAATGGCATTTATATTATTAAAATTACATTTAAAATATTGTGATAAATCATCTGCATCAAAAGAAAATCAATTACAAGTAAAAAATGATTATTTTATTAAAGACAAACAAATAAACAAAAACAAAAAAACTTTCTTTTTTTTTGTAGCTTCAAAATTTTACAAAACAAACACAAATTAATCTTGATCAATGGATATGGACAGCTGTGTTACGTTTACAACTTAATCAATCTTGTCTTTCAATAGATTCATTTATTGATAGTATGAATCAAGAACATATACCTAATTTAAATGAAACTCGACATAATTTTTCAACTGATAACGGAATGTCAGATGAAGCTATTAATGATATTCGACGTGCTATTGAACAGTATCATAATCTAATTGCATATTATATATCATTCGGTCTTGATCAACCGGGTGCTAGGTCAGTTGAAATTAATCATTTTGAATATGTTTCTTATGTGTATCATTAGTTTTATCTATCGATTAATATCACATATCTGTAATTTTTAACAAAAAAAGAAATTTTTTTTTTTAGTGCTGCTGGTTTCTTTGAAAGAGGCATTGAATATTTATCTCAACTAGTACAAAATGGCAAATATTCTGCAGCTATTCGAGTTCTTCATGATATGTCTGGAATGTTAATACGTAGTGCCGATTATTTAATTGAACATGTTCAGTAAGTTATTAAAATACAGCTTGAATTCTTGACGAACTATTCGTACAAGTTTTTGGAAGATCTTATAGTTTATAAATTGTTCTTTTTTTTTAATTTTTTGATAATTTTATTATTTATTAGATTTATGACTACATTAAAAACATTATTAAATGCATCGGATACATCAATGTCTTTATTAAAAACAGCATCATCATATATTATTCAACAAAGATCCTATGATGAAACAACAAATACAAAATTATTAACAGCTGCTATACTTGATTTACTTATATGGCTTGAAGATAATCCAAAATTTCGACGTTTAGTTTTATTACTTTGGTTTAAATTATTAACTGCATTAAAAGATTGGAATAAAGATAGGTAAAAAAAAGAAACGAGAAGAAAATATCTATCTATATATATATATATATATGTTAATTTTTAGTTCAATTCTATTTGCTCTTGATAATCTTCTCACACATTCATTTGTACATGATGTCATGAATAAAGAAGTTACTGATCATTTATTTGAATTAGCTGTCGTAAGTATTTTATTCAATTAGTTTATAACATCATTTATTGAAAAAATTTAGAATTATAGTCTGATCGAAATCAGGACTAGGCGCTCGGATTTGAGCCGAAACTTTTATTTTTTATCAGATTCTGGTTCACAAAAAATAATGGAAAGACATTTTTGAATAATCAAAATTATTGTATAAATTCAGTAAAAATAATTTTGTATTGAAATAGCTAGATTCGAATATACGGAAAACGATCAAAACAATGAGTATCATCTTTTCTGGCGTATTGAGCATAATCTAACATTTCGAATGCTGCAATTAATATTCAAAAGTTTTCAAAAAATTGAACCTGAGCTTTAATTTCTGCTTCTCTATATATGCCGATTAACTCAGTTAGGATATTTTTTTCATAGTAAAATTTAGTTAAATTTTCATGCATAGTTTTGTCTTCTATTAAAAATCTTGTTCTGGGAATTTTCATGAAGTTCGAATCGGTAGACAAATGAAAATGTATTTTAAAAAAAAATTTTCTTATTATTTCAATTTAGTCAGCATTAAATCCAAGACAAAATCAACAAGTAACACGTTCAGGTTTTCTATCTTGGATACCATTACCATCAGCTGTAACTTCAACTCAAACATATTGGTCATCATTATCAATTGATTCTTTACTTCTATCTCGTTATCCTATTGTTAGTTATTATTTTTTAAATGCTGAAAACTCATTTGAAATTGATCAAAATGTTCTTATTGAATTAAAAGCTGAACTTGAATTAAATCCAACTGGTAAAGTTGATCAAATTTGGAAGGTTTGTTTTTTTCTGTTTTAAATTATTATTTTTTTCTTTTTGAACAAAAAGTTTTTTTTAATAGAAACTAATTCAACAACGTCATTATCCATATATTCCATTAACAAGTTTATCAATTTATCGTTGGGGTACAATGGCATGTGAGATGCCAGTAACACATCCATTATTACCACTTGTTTGGGAAAAATTTTTTACAATTTATTTATCTAAACATGATAATTGTCTTCATCGTGTTGGTTATCGTTTATTTGAAAATCCAATTCAAACAACATTTCTTAAACAAATGAAACGTTCATTATGTCAAGCATGTGAATATTATTCATCAACACCAAATTTATCATACGCTAATCAATTATCAACATTTTATCATTCATTATCATTATGGATTGATGAACCACGTTTACATGATCCACAATTAAATATTATTTCATTACCAAAACAATATGATAATGAACGTTTAGAACATTTATTTAATGCTGATTATCGTATATTTGATATAAAATGGCTTGAATTAGTTGATTTAAGACAAATGTATGAAACATTAATTAAATTTACAAATGAATTATGGTCAAGAAAACGAACAATTAATAATAATAATAATAATAATGGACGTTCAAATACAAATCAACAACGATCAATAATGACATCATCACAAAAATTAATTGATCTTGTTTCAAATGTTCAACGTCCAACAATGAATTCGAAAATATCTGTAACCAATACAGAACAACTATCTATACCTAATCAACATATATTACCAAATGATTATAATGAAATAAAAAATTTATTTGAATCTGATTTAACTAAAATAATTAATTGGTTAGAAACACATTGTCAACGATATGAAAAACAAATTGAACTTGATCAAACACTAATGAGTTTATTACCTTTATTATGGAAAAATGAATTTCAAGAAGTAAGAAAAATTTTCACAAGGATTACAATTATAGTCCTACAGGAGAGTTGCAAATCTCGTTTCTCCCGTCCTGTGGGACATTCAGGATCGGGCACATTTTGAAAATAAAACATGATGGAACAAAAAAGATTCGGAATTCAAAAAAAAAGTTTGTCCTGTGGAGCTCTAATCACCATATAAAATATAACAAAATGATTTTCAGAAAACAAAAGAAAATTTGTATTCACCTTTAAAATAATCGTAAATGATATCTTGAGTTTTTAATTGAAAAACTAGGATTATAATTGATTTATATAACATATTGTCATAATCGTTACAGATCACAAGTATTAATAGATGAATTCGAAGTTTTCTCTCAAAGCGTCGTTTTTTCTATATTAACAGTGAAGTAAATCAGTTTCTACCTTTTCAAATGTACAGATTAGATTTAAATAAGAATTTGAACTTTTTTATCAATATCAACTTAGAATAAATTTAATGTATCGATTGAGTTTGTATTGGATCTATAGAACAAATCCATTCGCATGAAACTGAAATAGTGAAGATAAATAACTAGCTCCATGTTTCTACAAAATTGAACCATTTAGAAGTAGCAAATTGTATTCAACATATTCAATTAATCAGTATGCGGTAATTCATTTATATAAAGTTGAAGACAATACAAACAGCATTCAACTACTTCCAAAATTTGTTAGATAATCTCGATAAAATTTTCTAACCGGAAGTGGATAGTCGCCCAGAAGATACAACGTACACTTTTTTCAGTTGTTTTTGTATTCAGTCACTAACGTATCATACACATTTCTCAAACGGCTAGAGATGGTCGAGTCTAAAATTTTCAGACCTTGATCTGATCGAATCCGGGACCAATCCGGACGGCCTCCATCTCCTAATGAATTAAAAATCTTCCTATAAATCTAAACGATGTTTTTTTCTTTTCTAGCAATCAATTCAAGCTTCGTGTCAAAATGTTTTAAATCCTGTTCATCAATGTACACGTCCAGCATATATAATTGTTCGTTATAAATCAAAGCAACAATGTCAAAATTCGAATCAACGTCTTGAAATAATCTTAAATGAACATAAACAATTATTAACTGATGCATGTCGTTCATGTGATATTGATATTTGTCGTTCAATTGATTTACTTATACACATTGTACAATATTTAACACGACAATTATCATCAACATTTTTAAATGAAAATCAAACATTAAAAATAATTGAAATTGGTACACAATTATTTTATTCACTATTATTAGTTCATAATGATAAATATAGTGAATATATGCAACCATTATCGGAACAATTAAATTCATTATATGATACACTTGGTGAAATATTTGTTAAATCAGATCCTCGTCAACCACAAATTATATTAGAATATATAGTTTTTAATCGTCCAAATATATCACGTCTTATGCCATATTTTAATCCAAATTCATTACTTGAATCGGAAAAATTTATTGATATTTATAAAAAATTATCAAAAATGTTTACATTTGTTGAATATAAACTATATTTATTACAAATGTTTAGAAAATTTAATGTTAATCAATGGTTTGAAAATGCATCAAATTCAAATCGACGTTTAACATTTATTGATACATTATTTAATCATTATCGTTCATTAATTGAAAATTATGCATTAGCTTCAAAACGTGATAATCCACCAGGTTATGATGAATTACCATTAATTGAACAAACAAATCAATTATATGATGTATCAATAGGTCATATGATACAAATATTAAATTATTCATATCCATCACAAATTGGTTTTTTATTTCGTTATATTGTTGAAAGTATACAAATCATGAGAAAAAAACAAAAAATCATACAACAACAACAAAATACTTCGATAGGACCATTAGAATTCCAACAATCAATTGAACGTGGACTTTTACCGACAAAAATTTTATCTGAATTTCTTGATCAAGTTAATTATTTAGAAAATACTTCAACGATTAAACTTGGAAAACAACAAATTGATGAAATGCTTAATTGGTTACATACATTTGTACTTTCACAAATTGTAAGAATTATTGAAAATTTTCTATTCAGAATTATATTTAAAACAATATATTTTTGGTTTCATTATGTTAAGATACTAACAAAAGATTTACCCTATAGTAGAGACTAGGGATACAACGGTGATGGTGGTTCATCGGTGCAACCGATCCACCGGTGTACCGTCTACTAATACTACCGGTACTATGGTAGACCAGTGGATGGTTCACTGTCACCGTTACATCCCTACTAGATACTTTGTAGGGTACGGTAAGAGCTGAGAAATTATTCTCAGTCAGCGTACAAAGAAAGATCATCCTGCGCATCTCTATTGTGTAGTTTTACGAAAATTCTTTTGTTCTTAATAAGACAAGAAGAAAAGTTTTTTAATTTGAACGAACGCTCTATTTGAAGAAGAGATATTATTAATTAAGGAAATATTTGATCAGATGGAATTCATTGTTAAATATTTTCCGGGTTGATAAACCTAGATTTTCAATGTTTGTTATTAGGTTATTTTTAATTGATAAATTGTTTTCAGTTCTTTTAACATGTAAAAATCTGACTTTTATATATTTATAAAAACTGAATATATTATTTTATTTATAAGAAAGAAGAAAAAACTTGAAGGAAAATCTACAGTCGTCACCCTTGAGGAAGAAAAGCTTTAATACAAAAACTTGGTACCTGGAAGTCACATTTCAGAATATATGATTCGATCTATATCGAATAAGGCTTTTTACAATCGGTAAATATTTTTGACTGCTTACATCAATTCTTATACAACTTGACTGCTATATAAAATCTTATATCAATTTTAAGATTAACGGTTATTATTATAGATATGCGGGACCAAGTTTTTTTGGCCCTGCATATCTCTAGTTACGATATATCACCGACCGATGTTGAATAGTGTATTGTATGAGTTCAAACATGTCTGTCTAGGCTAACGATGAAGAGTGAAAACATTAGATAGACTTATGATGATCTTACATTTGATTTCAATCATTTCAGTGAATATTAATTATTTTATTTTGAACAATAACTAAAAAATTAATCCGATATTTCTGAAGAAAATAATTATTTCCTGTAAACAAAAGAAAAAATTAATTTTTTAAAATGTGAATTGATATTTTTGCTACAAAACGAATATATTTATTTAGGATGAAAAAAATGATAAACGTTTAATTCAATTATATCAATCATGGCGACCATGTTTAAATGAATTAACTCGTATTTATTCAATAATGGTAATTTTAAATATTCAAAAATGTCGAATTCATCATGATATGAATATATCTCAAATATTTGAACAAATTTTCTTACTTTATGGTCCATTTATTGATCCAACATATTCATTATTTTCATTAGCTGAATGGAAAATAATAATCGATCATCATGGTGATATGTTAACACGTATGATAAAAACATTTATACAATTATCTGAAGAATTATTTCAATATATAAATGAATCATATAATTATCAACAAGAATTTTTTCATTGTTTATTTCAATATTGGTATAAAATTGTTAAATATTTAATAACAAATGAATATACACATTCAATACTTGATATTTATCATCGATATTTACCACGTATACCATGGACTAATTATCGATTAACAATTGAATGTTTATTAATATTTGATGAATTAATTAATGCAAATAATTCTGAAAATATTCCATCAACATCATTATATGAATTTATTATTTATATTTTATCATCAATTGATATACATTCATGGATGATTGAAAATGATGAAAAATTAATTATGTCATTAGTACCGAGTCATTTTCGTTTATTAATTAATATTTTTTTAAGTCCCCAAGCAAAATATACACAAGTAAGAATAAGAAGAAAAGAAAATATTTAAATAAAATATTGATTTAATTTATTTGTATTTAGAATAATGATAATTTAAGTCGTTTAGCAACTCAATGTGAATTAATTAATTGGAGTTATTTAGATTTTGATACATATATTAATGTTCTTAATTCAATTATGTCAAAACTTGATCATGATTTTATTCTTGCACCACGAGCTTCGATTAATGGATATTTAAATAGGTTTGTGAAAGATTTTTCATGAAGAATACCTTCCGTTTTTCGGGGAAGGGTTTCTGAAGAACGGCTCAGCAGGTTGACCTTGATGAGTAGACCAAAATTTGTTATCCCGGATGCTATCTTATATAGGATATTCGAATTACAATGGTGAAAAATGTTTGTCCCCCCCATTTCTTCAAAATACTATGTTCGATCGGACTGGAAATTTTTTTATAAGCACTAGATACTGTTTGGAGCAGGTATTTATTTATTTTTTGTTCTTCGAATAAAAAAAATAGTCAAAAGAATGCAGAAACAAAGAAAACTGCCCATCCCAAATAGTGTTTAGTATATGCTCCGTTCGATCGGACGTATTAGATCAGAGAAAGGGGAGGGGAGGGGGGCGTCTCTACGTTTTTTTCATGGAAAAGTTGATTTAAGAAAAACGTGAAACAATATATAGTTTTCGCTAATTTGATTTCTCGAATTTTTTAACACTTAAAGGCAATTTTTGGATCTCCCACATGGTTATATTCATTGAATGAATATTTACCTGAATATTGAAAAGAATAAGTTATATGAAAGCAGAAAATTTTATTTTCTTTATGCATTTTTTTGAAACACGATCTGAAAGGAGTGTGAAAGCATAGGAGTAGAAATTTTGAGCCTTCACAGACTGTATATCAATACTATCTTGTTATAATATATGAACTACTTCTTTATTGTATTTTAACAGCAGCTGCATTGTGCTTCATAGTTGAAATTCTGTAAAGATTATGGTAACAGTTTTTTAATTGTACTTTCGTTCAAGACTGTTTAATAATCAAGTATTATATATACTATATATATTGATTTCACTGAGAAAATGAATGAATAACCTCAAAAGTAAGGATAATTTCGAAAATATTTCAAAGAGTAGACGCACTAGAATTTGAACAGACTTTAAATATAATTGTTGGGCGTATACAGTTCATAAGCGATGACTAGAACAAGCGTTGTGTGTTCCCTTGGTTTTACTTTTATACCTAGGTTCTCCAATGAGCTGTAATCAGTAGCCAACAAAATTTTTGAATGTGCAAAATATGTTTTGAAAGTGCTGGTTCTTTTGTGGAAATATATTCATTGAAATTTTCCAGTAGAACGCTGAAACTCTGTTGGAGAAAAACAAACACTTTTAGAGATTGAGAGTCACCGCTTGGTCGGAACATCTCTATGCATAGCACTAGTAGAAGAATTCAATGATTTGGATGTTTCAAAATTCACTTCTTGTCTTTTTGCATAAATAATCATATATTTTGATCTTTCGAATGAACAAATTGTTCTATATCCGTTCTTTTAATATTTGATACAGAATTGTTTAATCTAACTTAAGATTAGATAAACTCCTTTTGTGAAAGAAGTACAAAGAAAAATATCATTAAATTTTTCATTCTTTTCTTTATAGAATTCTTCGTTGTGCTTCTGAATTTAATTCTTCATCAGTTGGTACTGATCGAATACATTTTAAACGTTTATGTTATCTTCGTTTAATTGAACAATGTTTAATTAATGCTAAAAATCAACATAATGACGATGATTATCGTTTAACATTAATTAATTTACTTAATGATATTGAATCATTAGCATTACAAGGAAAATTTTCAATGAATGATGAACTTGTTGATATATTTATTGAATTAATACGTTTTCTTAATATAAATTCATTTGGACAAACAATATTAAATTCATATCAAAATTATTTTCTTGATTGGATACGTCATAGTCAAAATTCTATAACAATGTTACCATTATTTATTAGTATATGTCGAACATTAAAAGATCGTAATAGAAAAATATTATTTATTGAATCTATTCTTTATATTTATTTTTTTTATGATCAAGAACATAATTGGTCAATTATATTTAATTTATTTCAACAAAATGAAGATTTAATAAATTTTAAAATTGATGATTATATTCAAATATGTTGTGAACATAGTGCTTGTTTAGCATTATATCTTATTTCAGAATATGAATTAATATATAATAAACAATTAAATAATGATAACATATTATCTGATGAATTTCGATATCTTGAAAAATTAATTGATTTATTTACAAATGGAAAATTACGTATTAAATATGGTGAAGAAGAACGTATTTTATTAATAATGATTAAAATAAATCAAATAATTAAACATCAATTAAATTATGGAAGAAGTAATGATATTTTATTAGTACGTTTAATAAGAAATTATGCTAATTGGCTTTTGACACTTGGAACAGATAATAAAGATAATACGTATGGTGGAATATTTGCTATGATTGGAATTGGAAAAAAAATTCAATATTCTCTCAGGTAAAATATGTTGTTTTTTAATTACAATTCAAAATTTAATCTAATATATCAGTTGAATCTTCTCGTCAGAAAAATTGAAATTGAGATGATAACTCGAGGTCTGATCTTTTATAAATGACATAATTTTTATTTTACATTTCATTTTTTGTCAAAATTTTTGATGATTTCCATCACATTCGGCTTGAATAATATACTTTTTTCAGAAAAATCGGAAAATCTTTTTGCTTTGTTTATGCTTTTACAGAATTCTCTATGGATCTTCATTCTATACACTTCATTTTTTTGTTTGAAAGGGCATGTTCCTTTTTTAAATTGAACATTGTTACTACTCTTATGATTAGAGCGTCATTGTCGGAGAGTTTTTCGAGACATTGAACTATTTTTTACCTTTGTTAGTTGAATACCTCCGAAAAACCTTATGGTGTAAGGCTGAAATATTTGCCATACTCTTTTCACTATAGCCCTAACATATCCTGAAAATTTCATACGATTTAAATATACCCAGCCCAAGATCGAATTTGCCAACTTTGAGGGAAGACAATCGGAGTTAAAGTTCGATCCAGAATAATTTTAGCTCATCTTCTTTTTATGTCAAATCAATGATTCTATTAGCTTCGGATATATGCAGTGTTTTATTTAGATTCTATTTTCTACAGGAACAATTTAAAATTTCGGAAGACTCAACTCCGATCTGTGAACGAGCACTGTTTTCTCATAGTTTTAAGAATTTTATTTTCAATGACGAATAAATCGATTATTTTCTTTTTCTCGAAGTTAATATATTAATCTATTCTCCTGTATGTAAAAATTATTGAAGTCATTCAGTTGTTCCGATTATGAACGAAAAAATAATCTTCTAAAAATATTTCTATTTCTCTTTGTATAGGTTTCGTTTATTTATTAAATTAGTTGGTATAATGCAATTACAACAAATAACAGATGAACCATTTAAAATTCGTATTGATTCAAATGATCGTCATCCAGATCTTTCATCAACAAATAATGCAATACTTAAACAAAATTTAACAAATTTATCTTTATCAACGACAATAAATGAATACAGTGATTTCAAAAGCGAACTTACTTATTGTAACAGTGAATATTTACAACGTACTGATGTAACTTTTTTTCATGTTTCGGATTTAATTCATTATTTATGTACACATCTATTTGCTGATCTGCCATATTTAACATATGTATCTAGCCATGACTCACAATGATGAGACCGTACTTTATTTTTTCTTTCATTCTGTGTATATTTCTTCTTTTTTTTTTTGTAATTATCGTTCTCTTTTATACATATATAAGGTGAAAAAAAATGCTTGACTGTTCTTCTGTTGTTAAGCAATCAAGAGAGGGGTTTATCAGTTTAAAAGAATTTTTTCTGTCAGTACACATTTTTCAGATATGACTGCTGATAATGAAAATAAAAAATGGTTTCGAGAAGTAAATCCAAGTTTTTGGCCTGGTCAAGCATTTTCACTTGAAATTGATGAAGTTCTTTATCATCAAAAATCAAAATATCAGGATGTTCTTGTTTTTAAAAGGTAAATCATTAATTTATCATTATTAATTATGTAATTTGTTTTTTAAATTTATATTTCTAGTAAAACCTATGGTAATGTGCTTGTTCTAGACAATTGTATTCAATGTACAGAACGTGATGAATGTGCTTATCAAGAAATGCTTGCATTTCTTCCTTTACTTGCACATCCTAATCCAAAAAAAGTAGATTTTACATAAATTAAAAATTGTATTTTTATAGAAAAAAAAAAATTCTTTTTTAGGTATTAATTATTGGTGGAGGTGATGGTGGTGTTCTTCGTGAAGTTGTTAAGCATCCACAAGTTGAACAAGCTGTTCTTTGTGAAATTGATCAAGTATTTTTTATTTTTATTTTTTATATTATACATAAAAGATTAATAAAATATTTATTTATAGGATGTAGTTGATATTAGTAAAAAATATTTACCTAATATGGCCAAAGGTTTTTCTAGTCCAAAAGCAGTGATAAATATTGGTGATGGATTTGAATATCTTAAAAATCATAAAAATGAATTTGATGTTATTATTACAGATTCATCTGATCCTGAAGGTAATTATTTATTTATTTATTTTTTAATGAAATTAATTAATATAAAATTTTATTTAGGTCCAGCAGAATCTTTATTTCAAGAATCTTTTTATTCATTATTAAAATCAGCTCTTAAACCACCACATGGTATTATTTGTTGTCAAGGTGAAAGTATTTGGCTACATTTAAATTTAATCAAAAAAATAGTAACATTTACTCGTAATGTTTTCCCAACAGTTGCTTATGCTTTTGCATCAACACCAACATATCCAAGTGGTACTATTGGATTTCTTCTTTGTAGTCTTGATAAAGTAAAAAAAAAAAACATTGATTTTTAAAATACTGAAATTTTATGTTTAATGTTACTTTTTTTTTCCTTCTAGGACAAGAAATTAAATGAACCTGTTGATGAAAAACTTATCGATCAACTTGATACATGTTTTTATACAGCTGAAATTCATCGTGCTGCTTTTGCATTACCTGCTTTTGTTCGAAAGGTAAATAGTTTTAAATAATAGAAAATTTGTTTATTGAATGAAATTTTTTCATTCTCTTTAGGAGCTAAATAATGCGTAGCAATAATGACTAAAAAAAAAGTCTCAAAGCAGTTTTGTTGATTTGAATTATTTCGTTCTGTTAATTCCATTTGAAATAAAAAGAAATGATCAGAAACTTAGAAAACTAATAATTGATTCAATTATAACAGAGTTATAAAATATAAAAACCAGATTATTGAATAATCATATGAATGCAAAATATTTATTATATCGATTTAAGCTTTAATACAAAACAAACTGCAAATTAGAGAAAAATCATCAAGATTTAACTAAAATATTCTTACGAATTTCATATATTTTATTAAACAAACTCATATCTGTGGTATCATATACAATGTAGTATCTTGAAGCTAGATATAAGCAAGATGGTCTCGTCGGAACCAAGATCAATACTTTTTCATTGGGAGCAATATCTTTTATGGTCGTGTAAGACTTGCATCGAATATCATATTGTTACGACTAGACATGTGCGGGACCAATTGTTTTTGGTTCCGCTCTGGTTTCAGCAAATTTTTTTCTCATGATCCCGTTCATTTCTACTTGGATCAAAGATTTGCACTGCTTGATCTATTGGTTATTAATCGTATTACAATTGATTTGATGAAATTTTGTTTTTCTTATTATAATTCAGTATAACAGATAACAAGTATTATTAATGAATGATGCATTTTTGAATAAATATTTTTCTTTTCGATATTTATTAATAATTGTCTGATAGACAGACAGTACTATTCTATTATTATCTATTTATTTCTTTTTTTTTTCTTGAAAGAATATAGAACAGTTTTTAATATAAACAAAATGATGATAGATGATATATGATAAGAATTTGAATGAATATAATATGACTCCTCATATTCAATGTATCAATCTTTTCAAATTAGCAAAAATAAATTTCCATCACTTTACTATCATTATTATCATCATTATATCATATTAAGTAACTTTTATATCTGATGTTTCATTGCGAAGGTTTCTTCTCATTAAAAAAAAGAAAAAAAAGTTACTGAACATTTATTGTTACTTCCATCTTGATATAAAGTTAATTATATCTGACAGAATGAGTAACAGTATTCATTGATGTGCATGACAAAATGCTTTATGTCTATTTCTAAATAACGTATTGAATATCATCGTTCAACAGATTTCTCAACTGTTTATTTATTTTCTTTTTTTTTTTTTTGTTACGGTTAAACATACAATACTAAACTCAGATCAAAGAAGATCAAATAGTAGTATACTTTTTTTGTCATGAAATCTAAATCAACGTCTCGTTCATCAAAAAAACAAAAGAAGAAAGTCGCTACTTCTTATTACAATCATGTCTATTTGAATATCAATTTTTAATGCGGCTCCATTTAATCCTTTCGAAAGAATGTGATATATAAACATCATCAGTTTCTTTTTATGTAATCAACATTGATCATCTTAACAATCTTATTCAAATATACAAATTTTATAGATTTCGTTAAGTTCATTAAAAAGAACTCAAATTGCATATTGAATAAAAGGAAATAAATTTTCAATCAAAGTAATATCATCGGTTTTTTCTTTTCAAGAAAGTATTATCACCTTATTAAAAAAAAAAAACTAGTTCAATATCCGGTGATAGTGTTAATCTAAATATCATTTCATCTCTAACTGAAACAATCAATTTTTTTTTTCTTTATTGAACATATACATTAAACAAAATGTAGAAGAAAAAAAAAATAAGAAATTCCATTGAAAACAAATATAGACAAACATAACCAACTGACATCACTAAAATACAAATAAAATAGTTTATGTTTTATTCAATAATATAATCATACCTAAGGAGAGAGAAAAAAAAAACCAAATAAATCTATTTATCACAGTTTCGTTAAACAAAGCTATTCAAATTATCTTATTTGAAATAAACTACTGTGAATAATAGATAACAGCAATATTATTATATGATATGTATTATTAACACCTAGAAAATAAAATAATATATAAGTATTAATTAATTTTAATTTACTTTTTGATGAAAGTGTCATTGTTCTTAAACTTTCTGTTGAATGAAATACTATTGTTAGAGGTCGTGCATATTTTGGACGTTGATATCGTGTTGTAATTCTTTCTGTTGTTGTTGTTGTTGTAGTTATTGGTGATGAAGGAATTAATTGAATAGTTTTTGAATTCATTCCAATTGAATTTGAAGCTATACATGTATATTCACCTTGATAATTATTTGTAAAATATTTTATAATTAATTCTGATATAATATAATTTCCTATATGATAAGTTTGATAACTATGATTAAATTTTTTTTTATCTTTTATCCAATAGATTTTGTCCATTGGATTCATAATAACTTGACATTTAAGACGTATTTCATTTGTATTTGAATTAATTAAAAAGAATTTATTTGATATAATATTATCATTAATAAAAAGATCTATCTCTGGTGCATATTGTATTGTTAATTGAAATGAACGTGCTACATCAGGTGGATAACCATTACTAGCTATACATTCATAACGACGATTTGTATGACGTGATGTATTAAAAATTGTCACTTCATTTTGTTCACTGATAACTAATAAAATATAAAAAAAAGAAAGAAAGAAAAGAAATAAGAAGCCTATAGACGATCAAATAGGTCAATCATTATGTATTGTTATTTTACAGACATAAAGAAACCCTGTGATTATATGGCTTGTCAACTGTTCAATTAGACATTATTATTTCAAGAGATTGTTTTTATACAATAAAAAACAATGTTTGATATTTAATCAAGTATAATGAAGAATTCGAATAGTATGATTTACTTTGAATATTATCAGCTTGATCATATGAAAGTATACGAATATGAGGCGTTGGTTTTCCATGAGCATAACATTTTATTGTAAAATTTGAACCTGATTGTATTGGATATGGATAGGGTTCAGTTGTTGATTCATCAATAATTTTGGGTGGAACTAAAAGATTTTTTTTTTGAAATAATTTTGATTTAGAGAAATATTTTAATTAATTTACCTTTAACTTCTAATATTAATGTTTTATACATGCCAGTATTAATAAAACATCGATAAACTCCAGCATCATCTTCATCAATATCATCAATTTGTAAATTCCATTCTTCAGCATATGCATGTAATAATGATATTCTTGAATCACCATTAATTGCTCGATCTTCCATTGTTAATATTGAACTATTATTTAATTTCATCCAGATAACCTAATAGAATAAACATTTAAATATTTCATTTTAAATCATACATATATATGTGTAATAATTACTTTAAATGAACCAAATCCATTATTCTTCATATCTTGTAATGAAACATAACAAGGTAATAATGCTCGTTTACCCACGACAACAGAAACAGTTTCATATGATTGATCAAATTTTAGTAAAGGTTGATCTGTTAAAAGAATATGCAATCATCTTATTTATTATAAGAAGAGAGAGTATGTAACAATGATTAATGAGAAACACAACAGATAAGCGTATCTTTTTTCTTTTTTTCTTTTTTTTTTTATAGTGTTTCATATTATCGGATAAGATTTATTAAATATAATGTTTCTTTTTTTATTTTCTTAGACATTCGATTTTTTATTTTTTAATCGTACATCTCTTAACAAATATAAAGACATTTTATTATATTCGATGTGTCACATTCACATGAACAATCTTCTTGAGAATAGTTTAATGTTAGTAAGGAGCCATAATGGACACACTTCTTTAAACGGACAAACACACTTCAGACAGAAACACTCTTCTGATTTTTTTCTCTTCATATGTTTCATTTAATAAAAAAAATAGCTTATCTATTACTTTTTTCAATGAACTTTCATAAGTTAGTGTAGTTTATGTTTAACTAACAACGGTCCTGTCGCCGGTATTAATATAACATCTATTTCCGTTTTTTTATGTATATGTGCTAATCTTCTAGTCACGTTGAGGTGACAAAATCATGTATATACTGTCTTTTTTCTTTTTTTTTTTTTTGAATCAACTACAGACTCATTCTCATGTTCACTATCGCTTTTAAGATGTTTGTTTGAAATACAAGACAAATCTGGCATATTCTGCTTCTGTTATAGATGAAATAAGATAGAAGTGATAAAATAGCTAACAGTTCATATGATAAAGTTCTTTAATTCATTAATGTACATATATCACATGTTTCAAAAATAAACAAGTCAAACTGTGATCATACTCAATAAATTATTTGTTGTCTATAAATAAATTTCTTATAACATACCTGACTCAGTTTCATTAGATGTAGTTGAAGCGATTGTAATGATTAATAATAGAAATAGTAACATTGGTAAATATGTAAAGAGTGTGTTTTTTCGATGTAGATATGTATGTTATATATAGTTCGTGTGTCTATTTAATTACATTGAAAATGAATTCATGCTTCGTTAAGAAGTAGAAGAGAGGGAAAGAGAGAGAAAATATGTGGATCCTTCTCTTTATATGTATATTGATGGAACGATTGATGAATGAGACGATGCAAAAGAAGAAAAAGCTCAAGCAAGAGAGAAGAGAAAAATGGATGAACTGTCGTTCTCTCTCTCTCTCTCGCCTTCTGTTTCTTTCGTTCTAACTGTGGACAACTGAAAAAAAAATGAGCAGTTAATGTTAATAACGATGATCAGTCTACATCAGAAAAAAAAAATCGATAGTTTCTTTATATCTCTTTCGAATATATTCAATAATGAATTGTAAAATCCAAAACTGAAAACAATGTTTTATTTCGTTCACTAAATAATTAACGTGAAAATAAAATGAGTTAATCACTTCTTCTCTTGAGAATACTAATGGTGTCATCAATGTCATAAACAGTAAAGTATGTGTTAATATAATCATCAATGAACCGTAACATGTTGAACAAGTGTGTCTCTTTAAACTGTTAGTTAAAATAGCGTCAAAATATTCATTTTCTTTTCTAAACATATAGAATAAGTGTGAGAAAGATTATAGTTGAAAAAAGAAAAGCCTTCAAAGATGTTTTTTTTCTTATTTTATATATTGGTTGAATGATCTTACAAAAAAAACAAAAGAGAATTCCTATCATACACATTTGATCTTTCCATATTCACACTTATCAATGTTATAAGTTCATAAGAATAATAAATATGTATATAATAATTCAATGAACGTAAGAATGAACTACTAGTCATCATTGAATTTATATTAGTAAAATATATGAGAAAGTATTTTGTTAAAAGTGTGATCATCTTACACGAGTGATTAACTTTAGGTGGCAAAAATGAGATAGATCTCATCACAAGAGAAAGCTTATATTACACTTTTTACCATATAGACAGCGTAACACATTTTCATTTGACTGATGTATATAGTAATAATATGAAAAACTGAAATGAAATTACGTCTAACACATCGATATATGAGAAATGAGCATCTAAATCTGCAATAGATTGATGCAGATATGTTATAGGACAATCAAACAAACAGCTTAAGGAATCGACGAAAAGAAAATTGAATCATATTAATACTTGATTTATATCATAGATTTAAGGATAAGAGATTTATATATCGAACAAAATATTCTAGATGCTTTTTTTTTCTTCTTTATGCAATAATCAATTACAAATATATAAATGTGTTCAATTTTTTTTTATAGCAATTATATAAATATTAGATGTTGATGTTCAATTATGAATATAGAAATTTTCAAATACAACAAAAAAAAATGCATTACGTCATGTTCTTCTCTATCTAATGAAAATTCAGTGTTGTTCCATAGAGAAAATATTCGATATATCCATTAAAGTACTTTTTATAATTACATATAGAATAATTTCTATTTATTTCATATAATCGATCAAATCACTACAAAATAATATTCATTCTAATATTTCTGAAATGTTACAATTTTCTTAAAAACATGCATGTACCAAAATTTATTATACTATACTCATTATAATTTAGTTTACACTTCAGTTTTAGATATTCATCATTGTCGAAATAATATTTACACAGTGAATCTTTCTCGAGTTTGACTTAATTGGATTTATGTTTGTATGAATATATGATATTGTGAAAGTAGATAAATTTTAAAATCAGATTATTTTGTTTTTAATTATAAGAATATCTACATATTTCGGGATTCATTATGAAAATGTGATATACCACCATCAACAATAAAACGAAATTAATGTATATCAATTGTACATAATGATTAGAAAAAAAAATTTATAGTTCAATGTTTATCACAAAAAAGTTCTTTTGTTTTTATAACGAATTTTAAAAGAAATCGATAGACTAATTCACAACATTTTAGCTATACAACACATTTATTGTAAATGAAATTCTTCTCGAATTATATCTTTCTTTTTCAAATTTATATCATGTCGATCTTCAAAAATAGTATTATAATATTAAAGTATTTTTATCGGATTTCATCCTTAGCTTAAAAATATGTTCAATACTATGGTCACCACAACCTAATAAATGCTATATTAGTTTTTTTTTTAAGAAATAGAATTACATTTTAGCTATCGCGAAGGAAATATCTATTCTTGTTATAGCAATAATATATTTCACAAAAATATTAAATTGTAAAACTCAAGGAAATAATAAAATTTCAATCGAATATCATTTAACTATACGATGAGAATAAAGAGTTGATAATTAATTCATTTGTTGCTTCAATTTATTCTCGTGATATATTTTCTCGAAAAGCTCAGTAAGCAAGAAGAACTTTGCGTTAGGCGAGCTTTCTGTTCAGAGATATAGTATGATGACAATCGAGAAGATAAATAAAGTTTGGTATCTTTGTGTTAACATTCAACAAACTTAATCTTATTTTGGATTTTCAATTCTAATAAATTAGAAAGAATACATAAGAATTTAAAGTCAATACACCATCTATCACCAATCTTTATTATTGGAATAAAAATGACTTGATACCATACACAAAAACAAACACATGACTAAAGTTCTTGCATAAATTTCCATAGAAAAAGATTATTTAGGATCTGTTGTTTCCGAAACACATTTATCCATAAATTTAGCCATTTGTGCATCATGTGTTGATAAACCATTTAAATCATGTGTAGTTAATGTAACTTGAACTTTATTATAAACATTAAACCATTCTGGATGATGATCAAGTTTTTCAGCTAATAAAGCAACACGTGTCATAAATCCAAAAGCTTGATTAAAGTTTTTAAATAAAAATGTTTTTGATAAAGCATCACGATTATCAACTAATGTCCATCCATTTGTTTCTAATTGTTTCAATATATCATTTCGTTCATTACCTTCAAGTTTAGCTCGCATTTTCTTTTTATTTATATTTGTTGTTAAACCGTTCGAATATTTGTTTAATCTAGAAGATTTTAATGGATGGAAGAATTTTAAAAGTCGTATATAATCACGATTAATAACAAAAGACATTTGTAATGTGTAATTTTTTTTTCTGTCTGTCTGAAAACAAAAGAAATGAATTATTTGACACTAACAATATCTATGTATATATATATCTGATTTAAACAAAAAAAAAAAAAAAGAAATAAACTAAAGTCTATTTTCATTCATTAACGTTGAAGTACAGCTTTAATAAAATCTTCATAAACAATCATTCCTTGTTTATCTTCAAATTCATAAATTAATTGTTCAACTTCATCATCTGTTAATCTTTCACCTAAATATGAAAGCAAAAAAAAATTCCGTAAAATTAATTTTTTATATTTTTCTACCTAATGTTGTTAATAAATGACGTAATTCTGTTGCTGGTATTAAACCATTTCCATCTTTATCAAAAACACGTAAGCCATCAACAAATTCATCTGCAGGTGCAACACATTCTTTTTGTCGACTTAAACGTTCAAATATAACTTGAAATTGTTGCATTGATAAACGTTCAACTCGATTAAGATCACTAAGAAGTAAACGTATTTCTGCTTCAGTTGGATTAAGTCCTAATGCTCGAACAGCTTCGCCTAAATAATGTTTTGGAATATGATCATCTCCACGATCATCATATAAACTAAAGACTGAAAAAAAAACGAATTAATAATAACGATATATTTTTATTTTATTTATTGAACAATTTTTACCATCGCGAATATCAGCTGAAATTTCGTCTGTAAGACCCGGCATGTTGTTAATAAAATAAAAAGAATATGAAAAAATTCGTTCGTTTTTTTTTGTGTATGTATTAGAGTAAGTAAATATGAAAAGAAGAGTAGAGCATGACCTATTGACTTAACTACTTTGACTGATTCTTTTTTTTCGAATAGACATACACTGGCGCAGCTGTCGCACAACGAATGGCGAGCAATAATCAATGGATGTCACTGATGAATAGTGTTCAAACGCGTAGTCAACCATTCTGCTTTCAAGTCCTTACATAATATTGAAAATATTTTAATGCAAGAAAAAGAAATACATTTTGCTAAGGAACTATAATTTTAAACCGTTTTGTTGATGAATTTTTTTTTTGTTTTAAAATAACAATAAAATTTTTTCCTTTGATAGAAATTGTAGATTAAGAATATTGACTTTGACATTCTTCGGTAATAAATGATTTTGACTATTATTAACATGTAAAAGAGTCTTTACGTCTATTTGGAATTAATATATATATTTTCTATCGAAGTCAAATGAATATCTTTCATATTCATGTTAACTTTCATTTCGAATGTAATTCTTATATGAAAAATATAGAATGATTTTTATTCTATTTTAAGTATAGAATGGATTATAAACAATATGTTTACTGAAATCGATTGTACTATTATAAAAAATTGTGTCACACTGACATCATCCCTAGTCGAACATCTTGCAAGCAAGATCTTGAAATCTTGGGATCGAAAAGCAAGATCTTGACAAGATCATGAAAAGATAATTTGTATGCGAACAGCTTGTGCGCATCGGATACATCTGTGTCTAAGATCTTGTCAATATCAAGGAAAAGATATCGTTTGCTACTATCTTGTCACAAGATCTTGAGTAAAAGAACGATATCATTAGTATTTATGTGCTGACTAGTCATTCACCGTTTTTGTTTTGCATGCAGAGTCGTAAATAAACAACGTGATTGAACATACGTAACATATATTTTTCAAAATAATTTTTTTAATAAACGGTTTCTCGACTATTAATCATTCGAGAAAATGCCGATCTCGATTGCAGATCGAGAGAGGGCTACCTGGAGCCGTCTGATGGTGATCGAACCATTTTAAGAACAAGCAGGTTCCAAGATCGGGCTTGCTTCAATTATTCGGAACAGGAATGATTAAAATAAAGATAAATTGGAAAAATTTCATAACATGCTTTTACAGAAAAAAAAATAAATCTACAATATAATAGGTTTGAACCACGCTTTCAGATTGTATCACGGATTGTGTCGCAAATCACGAGACCTGCAAAACTTTTTATCTTAGTATACACTCAAGATCTTACAGATCTATAGTTAATATCTTATAATACTGTACCTAAGATCTTATGAATCTGTACCCAAGATCTAATTCAAGGTATTGGTGCAAGATAATTATATTATCTTGTACCTAAATTTTCAAGATCTGTTCACTTTTCTGTACCTAAGATCTTGACCAAGATCTTGCTTACAAGATATTCGACTAGGGATAGCATTAACCCTACACAATTTTGTCTTCTGGAAGGGCGATTGTCTATAATTTGAGAATACAGACACATACCGCGTAGTACAATAATTACAAAGTTCAGAAGAAAGAATGAACTCGATATTTTGGAGAGGTCACGTTCATTCGATCCCATACTAATAAAATACTGATGCTACATAATTAAAAAGAATTACTATTATGTGAATTTACCATTGAACCTTTATAACTGACAATAAACAAATTGACGTTCTTTAATATTCGTCTTGAAACATTTTGTTTTTTGGTTTTAATCGTAAATTCTGATGGTATAGCGAATTATTTTACATTTATTTTTATTTTTTTTCTCTCTTGATATTTTGTCCAATCTGGGCGTGTTACAGGTAAGCTAATTGTCTTCTCATCAATTTAATTGTAAAGCTAAAATTATATGGCATCATAAATTTTATTAGCCGTGTGCTTTCACATGGCATCAACAACAAATTTTATACCAAATTCAAGTCCGTCAAAAAATGGGATTTACCAGTACTAAATAGTCAAATTGAAAAAATACCTGAATTTTATGCTATGGCGACACAGAAAAATCTTTCTCATGAAGCAGTTCAAACTAGATCTCATTTAAAATAATGAATATCATACAGTAATGTTTATTTTATTCAAGTTTGGTGAATATAATCACTCATGAGTATGACGACCATTGGCGTTCTTTACAGGACCGAGATGAGACAATTACGAACATAAAAAAGTTTTTCAAAAACTTTAAATACAACGATCAGCAATTTTTTATCCTAATAAAAATGTGTTACTACAAAAAAAAATAGTATAAACGATGATTAGACATTGTAAAGTTTAAAAAAATACATTTGTAAAATCTCACTACGAAAGCAGGCATGATCTCTCTTAATTATTTATATTGAAAATTTCTCTTCGAGAAATATCGGTTTATAGAACATAGGAAATTTTAAAGTTAAATTCCAGTTAATTTTTCAACTTACCCACGACTCTCTACTTCTCAAAAGACTTTCATAGAGAAATTCCTTTCAACACAAAAATTCTTAACTATGCTACTGACTTTTATATATGAATGTTCAATTATTCTATATTGGCTGAAAAATAAGAATATATACAAAATATATTGATTTCTGAGTCTTTTTATCAGCAATTTTTAGTCAATCAAGATGATTTGTTTTCTTTTTATCTCATGTAAATCTTTCAATAAAGCCACTCAATAATATTTGAATTTTCTTTCGATATCTATTATTGTTTTTTAAATGTAAGTTTTATTTTGTTTTTTTCCCTAAAATATATAAGTTCCATCCCTCCTTTCTAATACCGTAATTTTATCTAAACCAATCTAGTTTTAATCAATTTTATTTCAAACCGTTAAATTAATAATAATCATAATATTTCTGCATAAGGAAAATAGTCTTTTAAATGTTCAGGAAATTCTAGTCTTCTAGAGAAAACTACGTAACTGAGTTTTGCACAATTACTTCGTGTTCTATTTCTTGTAAAATTACGTGTTACTTTTTTCGTTAGTCTATAATCGATAAGAAGATAAACATTATTAGATAAACATGTTTTCGTATCTAATAAGAATTGTCTAATATAATCGTTGTGAACTTGAGTAAGATCAAGTTGAGTAAGATGAGGATAATTAATGATTGATAAATTTTCTTTGTCATTTTTTGATACTCTAGAATGTTTATTATTTTGTTGTTTTCCATTAATCACAGTTAATTTTTTCAAGAGTGGAAACGATTGTGAAATTTGAAGAAAAAATTCATGTTTAAATGGACGTTCATCAAATAATGATATTTCACGAACATATTTAAATATTCCACCTGGAAAATTATTTGTTATATTATAGTAATCTTTCAATTTATATGGATATGAATAAATATGACATTGACATATTTTTGCCTTTGGAAAATAATCAACACAAGAGATAATTTGATTATCTTTAAAATTTTTGAATATCTACATTTGATTTTAAATTAATTTGATTATTAAAATAAATTGATGAATGAATATTAAATGTTAATGTGTTCAATCGTGCATATGATTAATAATATTTATCTTCATCTCACTACCATCAATAAAAACTTCCTTTTTACAAAAAAGATACAAATAAAGTTTTTCTAAATTCGACATTCGATGTAAAAGTGGTATAATTAAGTCATCATAAGCATACGTTTCTGTAATACTGTAAAGCGAAAAGCATTTTAAATTAGGTAGTTTTTTCTAAAAATCAAGATTATTAATTCTTCTTAATGAATTCGATATTAATTAAAAAATAATCTACCGTATTATCAATTATTAGATTTGGATATTGAATTTGATAAACATTAACATAAAGTGTATGAAGTTGATTGAAACGTCCATCACATAGATAAAGGATATCGGTAAAATAATTCACACCAACATGTAATTCTAACAGATTCGAAGTAAACATTGGAGGTTAAATATCAAATGATAATCGTGGATAATAAATTGAAGATGCACCACAATTCAAATATCGTAGATTAGTGAATGTATTCAAAATATATCTATAATTATTTTTTCTGTTAAATATCCTTCTACATTTCTAGTAATATCAATCCTAAGTGCTAAAATTTGATTTTTGAAGGTACGACTGAACAGTGTTTCATCTAAATAATAAAAAGATTCAAAAGAACATGGTGAATAATATTTTATTAGATTCTTTCTTGTTTTGCTTGAATCTTAGTATTAATCAGGCGTTTCCCCCAAGATCGTCAGAATCGGGGGAGAGACGAGTTTTTTTAAATTTCTTCTTTTGAGAATTGGTGAGCCAAAAGAATGAATAAAACGCTAGAATTTTGCTGAGCAAAAAACGAAAATTTCTCTAGATTAGAGAAAAGAGGAGGTGATACAGCCGACTTCTCATCCCTTCCGCTCGGGACATAGTAGTAGACAGTAAAAAAAGGGACCAGGAGCAATTCCTACAATTATTGTAGCTAATAACTTGCTATTATGTGTAATTATACTTCGTATTTCATACTGATTATCTGTGCTTATCTTGCCCTTTTTACTAGTAAGGTTTCTAAAAAACAAAATAGACTTTTTATTTGAATTTTTCAAAACTCGTTAGTCCTGCACAGATCATATTGAAAGTTGACTTTTGACTCGAAACTTTGCACAAATGATACTTTCAATATGACTAGTTTATTCTGAAAGTTTCA